TTTCAGCCGATGGCACAAAAATTCCGACAGTAAATAACCCTAAAATTTTAGGCGTCACTTTGGACAGTCTGTGCTCTTTCACTCCTCACACGACCGCGATAACTGCCAAAGTACAGAGCCGCAACAAAATCCTCAAGTCGCTTGCCGGCAGCTCATGGGGAAAAGACAAAGAAACGTTGTTGGCAACATACAAGGCAATCGGCCGGCCGGTCCTCAATTATGCAGCCGCAATATGGTCGCCTGGATGCAGTGACACGCAGAATAAGAAGCTTCAGACTTGTCAGAACACTGCACTCCGGACTATCACGGGATGCCTCTTAATGTCTCCAATCGAATACCTACATAGCGAGGCCCGTATGCTTCCGGTTAAGGAACATAACGAGCTCCTCTCCAAGCAGTTTCTGCTGGGATGTTTTCGCAGAAACCACCCCTGCAGTCGCCTGCTTGTAGCGGAGCTGCCTCCTAGGAACATCAAGAGGTCCTTCCTTGACTACGTCGACGACATTAGACAGCACGCCGACCAGACTTCGGACGCAACTAACTTCAGACAAGCACTGACCGCCATTCACAGTGGAGCCATTAACACCTTCACCGACTCCCTCTCAGTGAATGGCGTAATACGAGTCAAACCACCACCCATTGCAGACACAGAGCTCGAGTTGCCTCGCGAATCTAGAGTGACCCTCGCGCAACTTCGTTCTGGATATTGTAGCAGGTTAAACTCCTACCTATTCAGAATAGACCCTGACATACCAAACACATGTCCTGCATGCAATGAGTCTCCGCATGACACTAACCACCTCTTTGCATGCCCAACAAACCCCACTCATCTAACACCCCTCTCCCTATGGTCCGACCCCGTCGAAACAGCTCGTTTCCTGGGCCTTCCGTTAGATGACCTCGACGACAACGAATCTAGAATTTACCACCCAAACGGGGACTAGATAATCGTTACAACAACAACAACAACAACAACTAGAAGCGCGATAAATCAAGTACTAAACACGTCAGAGATATTAAATTTTATGAGATGAAGTGGGGCACCGCCCACTTTTGGGTCAAACCCCATATCTTGGGATCTGCTGAACCGATTTCAACCAAATTCGGTACAAAAAATTCTTCTCATATTTCTATGTTATAATGCGAAAATGGACGAAATTGGATTACAACCACGCTTATTTTCCATATAACACCATTTTAAATCTCATCTTTAACTTTCCACTATGCAAATCAAGCAACAATGATTGTATCGGGGTAAAACTTTGCGTGAATAATGCATTTAAGTATGCCACATTGTGACCAAAAATTGTCTAAATCGAACCAAAACTGTTCAAGCCCCTAGGCCTAAGATATATAATTGTAATTTATATAATAAAATAAATAAATGAAACTCTCGATAATAGTATGTTTGAATCGGATCAATAGTTCCTTTAATATAAAATTTTGCCAACACCTGAAGTAATTTCTCGGGCTTTGATACTTTGGCTTTGTCACATTTACTCCGATCTCATGTATTACTGTTAATTTTTACTAGCGCAACGTGATATGTGCGATGTTTACGATATTTGGTACTTGCGTGACTGGCGAGTAATTATCTTTTCCAATAGGAGTGATGTCTCATTTTAATTTAGCTGCTGCGCTATTAAGGTATTTGCCATTTAAACTGCGCGTACATCGATTAAGTTTTTTTTTTGATTTTTTGGTACACACCATTTTTACGTTCGTGTTGTGAAGGGCTCAAGATGTGCCATTTTGATGCACTATCGTAAGACCTTTTTGACCTCGCTATTTCGTTACATCGTTGCGTTCGAATTATTTGGTGCTCTCATTGATGAAACTATTTGTAACCTTTTTGTAGACAACCATTCAAGGTTTGGTGTCTGATGGATTCCAAGTATTGTATGTCAGGTTTGTGATAAAGCTGGGCATCACAGAGAAAGTGAAAAACTGTTTCCTTACTCCTTTCTAATTTGCAGCTGCAGCAAATATTGTTATAGTGTGGATCTAAGTTTAGTGCAGGCTCTCCAGTCTTGTCATACTTGAGTCAAATCTGCTTCGTTATCTTGCATTTCGTTTTGATTTCTGTCTGTTCTGAGATATTTTTTTAAATCGGGTATACAGCTCTCTCTTGCTCATTTTTAGCGGGCAGCCACCTCTAATCTAGAATCTAGAGAATCGCCATTCATGTCTGGAGGATGACTCAACGGAAAGTGACTATTGAAATCCAACCTTGGGAGGATATAGTTTGATTAATTTAAATTTAGCTGGTTAAAAGTAACGCTAAGTCCTGTTCTAACCACCTAGCTTCTTAATTCTTGTAGCTGAACATGCTGATACTTTCTGAATGAAAACGTCTATGGGCAGTTGAGGTAGGAGCATATTATGCAAGTTATGTCCTAAATAGCGCCGATAACCCCTACACCCGCTGTTCTCTGCATTCCATTTAATTTCCAGAAGGTATATTAGTTTCTTTAATGCTGGCCACCAAACCATGCTTCATATGTCCAAATTGTTCTAATGACAATCGTATACATCTACGTGACTATATTCGGCTTGTATATATGTATGTATGTACGTTTTATTTCTTCGTTTTTCAATGTTAATTTTCCAGCTCAGTTTGATATCACTTTTCAAAGCTTAAGTATTTGTGTGTGGAGGACAACGAACTTATCTGTCAAAGGAAAGGTCTGAAGCAAAGCGATGCAAAATTTCTATGTAAATCAGCCATAAGAGACACAGTAATTGTTTGGATATAATTCACAATTTTTTGCATATGAACTTCTTTCAATGGATTGGAGTTTTGGTAGTCGTGACTTGCTAGCATTGTATAAATCTACAAGTAACAAATCCTAAGATTACCCTAATACACATGCAAAAATATTCCACTTGGTACGGGTTGCCTCGAAAATTCTACTACTAAAATCACACTTGGTACGGGTTGCCAACCAATATTCTGCTACTAAACTCACACTTTGTACGGGTTGCCAACCAATATTCTACTACTAAAACGTCCAAATGACAGAAATCTGCTATAGTGTGTTGCCGTGTCATGTTTTAAAATTTATAACTTTAAGAATGTTTTCATTCCATATTCAACATTTTTCGGTTGTTTTCATTCCTAAAGATTAAATTTGCCGAACACCCAAAAAAGATCGGTAACGCGTCTATATTGCAACCTCAGAGGTGGTGCGGAAAAGCAATAAATAGATAATAATCTTTTGTTTCGAAAATATTCTTGAAAGTTTTCATTATTATTTGCATTACAAATACATGTTCATAAACAAATTGTTAAACTAGATCCTTTTATTTAAAACTCTGTCTCAAAAAAAGGCATATTTGATCAGGTGATCACGGCTGTTTCACACACATAGGAAAACAGCTGATTCTTTGGCTACTTGTAGGCTCATACAATGCTTGCTAGGCAGTGAATGAAGTTAGACTGCGTTCACACAAGAAGTGTTTTTGTCGGTCATTGCATTCACACGAGCGCTACGAGTCCGACAACTTGAGTCGCATTTTCTGTATTTTCGTACGTATCAAATTCTTAACTTTTTGGATTCTTCATGTACGCGGTGCACAAAATCAGGGTCGGCTTTAGAATAACGTTTCAGGCTTTCGGGGATAAAATGGGTATGGGCGGATAGAGGAGATCCTCCAGATCAAGAATATATATAGATATAGCCGCGGGAAACTTATAGTTTTCGAGATATTTACGTTTAAAGTTGAAAATTTCAACTATTTAATGTACGTATTTTTCCGCTTTAAAATGAATTATACACTTATATTTTTCACTTTTATATCCTCTAACACTTGACTAATTTGTTTTTAGAAATTTTTTTTATATTAGATGCTGCAAAAATAGCTTTATTTCAATATTTAAATCATTCTTCAATATTAATAATTTTGACAATAACAAAATGGTTGTGAATGTCAAAACACCAGTATCTATACTTCTATGGGTATTCTCATTTAGATTAACCACGTTTTTTTTGTGTATGCTAAATATCTCGCCGCGGCGCGATTAAAAAAAAATGATCAAAGAGACATCGCACGATTTGTTTATTATAGTCAACAAAATTACGCGAAAAAAAAATTTCGTCAACTTAAGGTTTAAACTAAATAAGTGTTTCATTAGTCCTGTGAATAAATGATTATATCACAAAACAAAAAAAAAAACTGAATCTGCACATGATATTATACCCGCCACAGCAGCCATACCCCGTAATTGAACAATTCGTGCGTTTACAGGAATCCTACGTGCACTTTAACTATTTATTTAGTTTTTAGTACTGATATTTAAATACCATTTGTAACAAAAACAAGAGGGATTTTGTATTTATATATTAAGAGAACATTTTTATAAAAAATAAAATAAATATAAGGAACAAAACAATTCAGATTATTGTATGGTTGCTTACTTTTAAAACTTCGAGAACTGACAGAGGCTTTGGAGAATCATTTTCTTTCTCTTGCTTCTCATACCATCCAAAATATCCAATGCACATATGTTTTCAATTGATTTGCAAAAATGCCAACTGTTGTTTATCACAAATGTTGCTGTTGTCACATACATATATGTTCGGCAATGCCCGATATTTTTTTAACGAATATTTTTTTTACAATCAACAGAAGGAAATTAAAAGTATATTTTTTTTCAGTAACTCAAATTTTTAATTAATTATGCCGGGAAACCAATCAACCGGGTTCCATTTACGATCCACTTACACGTATTTTGTATGCAATATATTTCTGACCGATGAGATGAATCATGTAAGCGGTAAAATCAATTAACTGGAGGTCAATTAACTGTTGATTCTGTAATAAAATTAAAATTTTCGAACATAACGTATATATTCATTTGAAACCGAGCGCTATTATAACCTTGACAAGAATTTCAAATTAAAATAAAATGCTGAATTGCATTCGGTCTTTTCGTCTCTCCTCGTCGTTCCATCGCCTAAAAAAGCGGTTTGAGCGACAAAAAGATTCCTCCTGTGAATATCGTCACACATCACAACGTACCGTAGACATAGCGTTGCCATTTTTTGCATCACATCACAGAGCTAATCAAGGAAACTGGCCAAACTTTTGTGAATGTGTGATTTTTTGTCGCGATTTCTGCTATAATAGAGACATATGGGCTGACTTCGAAAACGTACTACTGCAAAGTATCGATTCAGCATGACTGCAGTATTTATACATCGTCGGTATGCAACCACATTGCAAACAGATGCGTTGTATAATTTGACGTTACAGAACCTAATTGCTAAACAAAACAAAACCAGAAGGATACACATAGAAGAGGTATCATAGAAAGAGACAACCTGCCATAATTGTAATTTGATAGAACGGGAAAGATGTTGAATATCCAAGGGGAAATGGGTTACTTTTTTGCCACTCGCTGAACAAAAGTAGAACATTTTCAATGTCGAAAATATTTCGGATGCATTAAATAACATTATACTTTGTTCTTATACGTTGCAGTTGACGTTTCAGGTCGACTTTATACCGCATATATCGGCCAATATGTGAGATATCTTAAAGTAATTTGGAGATCGTCTTCTCATGATAAGATTGTGAATTTGCGCCTAAAATAAATAAAACCGAGTTAATACTTCCCCCAACTCTGATATAACATACCTAATATGCATTTTTAAACATCCTGTTGCCTTATTATGATATATATCGGTCGAACTCTAATATATCTAATTGAAACTCAGAGAGCAGCTTTTTCTAGTAATAATATGTCGTGGCAGCATATCCATATACCTAACATAAATATATGTATATGTATATCGGTCAGTATGTAAAATATCTTAGCACAGGTGAACGTATAATATTGGATATACGAGTATTATAGCTTAATGCCGAAAATGCGTGAAATCGGTCCACAAATTTTCTAAGTTATATAAAAGCTGTTCTATATACTAAAGTTAATGCAATCAGCGCACACCTTCCGCACCTGGGGTTGAATTTATATCACATACATACATATATCTTATTTAAGTTAATTGGGTTGATTTGAATAGAAATAGATATTTTGGATATTAAGAAATATATAGTGTTGAAATAGAGTGAGTATATGACCTATAATTTAGGTTCATAATAGAATAAATAAGATTTTAGTCTATTCACTGTTCAATCGAATAATGAAATTTGATTTCTCGTGCAACATTTCTTAATATTATATAAAGATGTGCTAACACCTAAAAGTATCTCCCCGGCTTTAATTCTTGAAAATTGCGGGAGTATAAAATGTTCAGTTGGGTGCAACTTTATTTATCATTTACAACTACATATTTGGCCTAAATATGTCCATTATTTTACATTATTAAGATCCTTGCCCACGTTGTAGTGATTTCGAATAAATGCATAGTAACGATTATTGTAATCTTTATCCATGTAAATGTGTTTTCTTGTTTATATTTCGTAAGAATCTCTGCCCATGCGTGGTAAGTCCTTATAATAGAGATAGTGAGTGTGAGTCACAATAAGTTGTTTGTTCCTAAACTCCAATTACTATAAAATTTTCAGATTTCGGTTCATTATTAACGACAAACGTTCACAATGGAATGGATAAATGCTGAAAAAATTAGATAATCGGCAAAACTATGTTTGATATTAGTATTTAATCAGAAAATCGAAAGAAAGTGTATTGTGATAGAAGTGCCAGTTTTGATATATTACGAATCCCTTATTTTATTTGGCAGTCAATATCTACACACATTCAGAGTTTTTAGCAACTTTGTGATATACGGTAAGATAATTAACAAGGGAGCTTCAATGACAATAAATTTTTATTTATGTCTCATTTGTTGTGAATTTGCTTTGAGTGAATTTATGTATAACAACCTATTGGCCTTTTGCGTTGGATTAAGAGTAGTGTATGGTTGACAGTAAAAAGAGCGAAACGCAGCAGATGAGGCGAGAGATACGTGGAGTTTTGGAACCTTTTGATTAAAACAGATTTAAACCACCTACGCTATGAAAAAAGGTAATTTGTGTTGTTAAAATTCAGAACTTTGTATCAAAAAATGTATGTTCCTAGTCTATAAAGGAAAGAGGTTCTTCTTCATTGTGTATGTCTATTCTTCTTTATTATTGGAGTCCTAGGATCACAGTAATATATGTGAAGTCTGCTTTAAGAATTGTTATTACACCAGCTCAGAATGCAAACAAGAATACACCACCAAAAAACACAATTGTTTTCTATTGTTAGTGGTTGCATATTAATTTGAAGTTAAACGTGACTTAATGTTATTAATATACATACATATGTATGTACACCACGTATTGACACAATCAATAACGAGGTTTTTTGTTGATAAATCATTTATCAATCAACGCTTCTGATTACAACATTGTGCATGTATTAGGTATGTGCACCCAATCAGTATCATAATTAACGTATGTTGTTATGTGTTTTTAGGAATATGAAAAACAATTACGGGTAAATATGTACTTAATGTTGGGGTTGTAAGGGGTGACACAATTAAGTGTCCTTTTTATGAATTCGAAGGAATTACCCCTTAAAAAAAAGTTATGTAGATTACAAATCCGTGAGTGGAAAGTGAATTTTTTCAATAATTTATGTATATTTTTCAATATTTATTTACACACTTTGCACATATCACATATTCAAGTCACTTAGTTGTTGTTGTTGTTGTAGCGGCAAAATTCTGTAGAATTCAGATCTCTTAGCTGTAATTACCAGTTCAGTGTGTTAAACATTTTTTTATGAAAAAAATATACTGAAGAAATGTAATAGTCAAAATTTCTTTTGTGCCGTCAAAAACCGGGGTGTTCATAATTCAATCGCGTCAAACTCCTTTCTGCACTGGCGGCCTTTATTTAAGGTAAATGTACTTCACAAACTCAAAAAGCACAGAGAGCGTCAGAAATATTAAAAAATAGCGATAATGCAAGAGACTTTCATGTTAACTGATTCAAATATTTTTTAACGGGTGTGGCCCATATACTTTTAAAGGAAAATACATACCACATCAATTTCTGAACCAATTTTAACTCAATGTGTACATAACATTCTAACTGGAAAAATAATGGGATAATACAGTCTTCTTATATTATCCAAAAATTTTTCCACTCTAAATAAATAAAGCATCAATGAAGATCTGAGGACAACAATTACCTAAAATTATACCTCAAGTGTGTATCACTCCCGCCTAAAGATTGTCAGAGTCGGACATTACTAGCCCACGGGTACTGAATATGAGGACCTCCGAGCTCATGGCTATATCGAAAATATCATTCAATTTGCAAGCATTATCATGTTAATTACGTTGGCTTCCTTTCCTGGCAAAAATTTGGTAAGGTACTATAAATGGAAAAAAACCTTTCAGTACCATTCCTAGCCCCATATAACTAACATCATGATTACAAATATTCTAGTTGATTGTATTGCATATACTATATCGCAAAAAGTACTGTTTGGTGTCGCAAATGCTTGATCGATTCATCTCGCTCTATCAGTTTATCTTTAAATGCGTTTTTCTCTAAACAGCATTTTTCGAACTCGCGTCAGTGACTACTCGGAGACAAATGTTTCGATCATTATTAAATATCTGCATGTTCTGTGTATAGTTCTCAACACAGTTTTTTGGTCTGATCAACAATCGAGTTTTGGCAGGCTAAAAAGTTTAAAAGTTTGAGTAAAATTCTACTGTGTTTTTAAGAACGCCGCTATTTTGTTTTTCGACAGTAGGTCATTGTAGGGACAATATCTTCTAGAGCGACTTTTTTTTAGGTTCCAACTATGGAGGATCACTGCAGCAGTGGAGGACCTGTTTTTAGTGCCGTCGGAGATCGATATTACTGTGTATTCTTAAAATATGTGTTAATATACTCTTAAAACTTCAAAAAAATTGATGCAGTATCTTTTTTTTTTATTCCAAAAAGGTTATATATTGGGTTAATTCGAATATGTGAACATGTTAACCTAACTCTATATCTTCTCAATGTAATGATCACAGTCCTTCTGGTTGATGTAGATATAGCTTAGTGCGACAGATATCTAAAGAAATTAATATCAAAATATTATAATTACTATAGCGTAATGTGGTTTGATGTAAAAAATTTATAGAATATGTTCATTTACAGGAGAAGGCAAAAACGATATAACATGAAAACTACTAGAGATATTAAAACAAAATTTTCATGTCGAAATTAACGTGAAGCTAAAAATAGTTTTAGTTAAAAAATCTGTTCTTTAAAATGCATTTTATGCTATGTGCATTGCGATATTTTGGGCTAGGGGAGAGTCTGACCTGTTTGGATTTACTTTTAGCGGTTAACTAAATGAGAACTCGATTAGGATATCTCAAAATTTGACCAATTACCTACATACTTACTCCGATGTTTTCCTCTTTAGCATGATTGAACATACACCCATCTGGAGGCGAGATGAGTTGAATTCAGGATGTCCGTGCCTGCGATAACTTGAGTAAAACTTAAGATAACTTGATGAAACTTAGTATTTGAGATGAGCGACATCAAAATATTTCCACGCTTACAAAGTTTCACTAATCGAAAACTTACAAAGTGCCATAAATACTCCAAATTAAGATACAAAACTGTTATTGGTAACGAGGTAGCGGGGGAAAATTTAAAAAGTAAGCTATACCGCGACCTATAATAAATGTAGTGTACATATCTCACAAAGCACTAAAAAGCTATACCAACAAAACTTTCTGAGGGCAAATTTTCCCGACCATATTTAGAAATCGGTGAAAACGGATCATAACCATCCCCATCTCCTTATAACGGTTATCTTGAAAACTACTAAAATAGTGCTAACACATTAAAAAAATACCTCAGGGGTATTAAATTTCAGAGCCACAGGCTTCATAAGAATCGATTTGCAAATTGGACTGTGGACGTGGCACCGCCCCTTCTGAGGAACTACTCGGCCAATTTAAGCCAAATTTGATACGCAAAATTCTCTTTATGTTATCGATGAAATTATACTACATTTCTGATCTGCCTATTTCTCAAATATTATAATTTTAAATTCCATATGATTAATAAGGTTGTCTTAATAAAGCTTTGCACAAATTGGCCCTGGTGTTGTATCTTACATCTAAAAATATGTGGACCAGAGTGCGAATGGCTGACTTTCTTACCGAAAATGTCGGTCATTAATATGAGAAATAAATACGAAGAAAATCGCCTCCCGTTAATAATGTGCCCTTGTGTTAAAAATGGATAAGATGCATGTTAAACCAGAAAACTAAAAATATCGCACCATTGCCAAACAGAGGGGTTATAAAAAGATATATCCATAAAATTAAGAATCCCAATAATATTAAAACATGTTAAAATAGTTGATTTCTTCCAGACGAGATATGTGGACAACATAAGCCGACTCCAAAACCATTTTTAGAGGACCTCGGTCGGAAGTGCAAACATAATAGTTTTAATACATGTATAAAGAATAAACGAGAAACTGGCACGATTAATCACACCAACAATATAAATGCAATTACTCCAGAAGAAACTGAGCAGCGTCAAGGCCAATATTGCTTTAGAAGACAAAATGAGATAAGGAACAGCAGTCAAGAAATTGACATATCGCACGGTTCGCTTCTCTTTTACGGAACTCAAAATTTTACTTTAAGGACAAGTGGGCGAAATAAAATCAATGATAGCAACTTTTTTCTTACAAACCATTTTTCTGAAAAGGGTGTTGATTTGGTTCCTGAGCAATATCATAGCGCATCTTTACCAAAGTAAGTAAAATAAATATAGCTTTATACCTAATGTAAGCTACGTTTGTTAATGCCGACATTGCGATGATCTACATAATAATTTTTCGTTAAGTTTTTCTGCATCCCTTTCATTAGTTACGATTCAGTAGTAAACCAAGTAAGCAGTCAGATATACTAAATGGTAAATTATGTTACTTTCATACTATCGTATGTATATTCCTAGATATACTATAGCTTGGGGCCGGAAATGGGTGAAATCCTCATCATTAAGAGGAATTATAGTGATTTTCGCCCTCCTATTGACTTTTCTTCATTCTATCATTTTGATATCTGTATAACTGTATATCTATATTGATGAGCTTTAGGTGTTAAAAACAACTATTAGATTCTGTACCAACCCTTATTACATGTACATATTTTACATTTTTAGGGAAACACAATACTTGGTCACGAACTGCGAATTTTATGGAACGGATGATATCAGTAGTAAATCAACTGATATATGTCAAGATGCAACAGATAGAAATTGGGATGTTGATCGGATATTAAACCATAAAACAAAAACGATCGATAACAGCAAGCAAGTACAGTTATATGGATGTTCAAACGCAAACTCAACGATATATGTAACCGAATTATCATCAACATCAATTATTCCTAAGAGTTCAAGTAAAATTTACAAAATATCAAGCACTGATACTAGCATTGATTTATTAACAAATAAGTTTAGCGGCGAACAAACTAAAAAAAGAATTAGTGGTAAAATTATAAAAAAATTCAATTCTAGTAGTAATGAAGACTTTAGTAGGCAGTTTTTGAGAATACAGGAAGGAAATCAAAGCCAATCAGTCCAACAAATAATAAGCCTTTCAAAAACCTCACCCGATAAATGCTACAAAAAAAGCAACGACAGCATTAAATCCAATATCAATGAAAAAGAACATGAATCCAATAAGCACCAGTGCGATAATTTCGATAGATCGTGTAACACAATTAATGCAAACGTAAATAGCAGTGGAAGTAGTAGTAGTAGTGCCGACAAACGTAATTATAGTAAAAGCAGGAGTAGAAGTAGCAGTAGTAGTAATAGTTGTAATTGTGATATAACGGGTGATAACAGTACTTTGCATGGTTTTGGTGTTGGCGTATTAAGCAGTTTACCGGGTGATTGTGATTCTGCAAGTAACACTACGCAAGCTCAGCCACCGTCAATATATCATTCTCAATTTGAAGACCAGTGCCAACATAATAAAACTATAGAGCTAAACTGGGACGTACCCCAGCAGAATTTTTTAACCCAAACAAGAAATTTTAATTGCAAATCTGGTGTTTTTATTGAGACAGAAACACAAGCACCGATAACAGAACTTAAAACGATTTTAAGACATGGTTCAGGCGATATCACTGACTGCGATAGTTGCAGCGAACTGCAATTATTAAATTTAAACGATTATAAAGCTGGTTCAGATATTGAAGGTGGGAGTTTGGATGATAACATAATCGATACAATTTCAGAAAATTCGAATGACGTCGTCATCGAGCTTCGAGGGTTCGAAAAATTAAACACTCAGTTTGATTCTTGTAATGTAAATAATGAATTCCTGCCTTTGAGTCAATACAAATCGTTCGATTATTCATCACATCCCTTAATAAAATTTTACGAAAACGAAGACAAGCCTAAACATTATTTTGATACACCGGAGACTTTTATATCCGACCAACGTTCTAAAGATATTTTTGGCAACATGGATCTTGAAAGCAATCGAGAGCAATCAGGTGGAACTGATGGAGGAGCAATAAAGCGTACAAACAATAATGGTTTAGCAAGTAATGAAAATTTTAATAAAGGCCAGACAGCTGCTTATCAAACAATTGGTATGTTTGGAAAAATATGAATATGTATACTAACATTATAAATATTATGGCAAATTACATTTTTTGTTTAAAATGTGAGTTTATGTTTCATAGGCGCCGGTTTACACACGAAGATTTTTGTTGCCCAAACATTTTTTTTGTAGGCGAGTGGACGAACAACAAGGAAAAACGAAGAGACTTTCGCTACAGCGTTTTTGTGCACCACATACGCTCCATGAACAAGAGTTTGAGATGAGATATGAAAGGGAATGCAGAAAAATGTCCATCTCAAAGTTTCGGACTTGTGTCGCTCGTGGGAATGTCATGAGCAAAACCAAAAGGGTATTTCCCGGTAATGATCGATTAAAATCTTCGTGTGTAAACCCAGTCTAATTGTGTATCCTTATATTTTTAATAATAAATTTGTTAAATATATTTTTTTAATGAAGTTCAATACAATACTCGAACCGTTTGTTGATATCGACATTAGCCAATCCTATTCTTTGAAATGTACTCGTTTAAATTTTTAGCAAATGGACCTGTAGAAACTGATGGTAACCTTGGGACATCAAACATTCCTGACACAATAAATGGCACAACAATTGCTGGTGGAATAAATCAGCAAAAGACTGCGGCTAATGCAACTACGCAAAAGCGGTCGCAAAGACGAGGGGGGAAGCCGCAACCTGATCGACCTCAACGTGTTTTGTTTTGTTTGGGTGTAAAAAATCCACTTCGCGCATTATGTATTAGTATAGTCGAGTGGAAGCATCCTTTTTAATTATTGGTTATATCTTAAAAAAATAATTCGTCTTTATCAATGTACATGCATGAGTACTGAATATGAATCTCACGCGATTTTCCTAAATATAAAAAATACATTTCTCAATCAATATTTTAAAGACCATTCGAGTATTTGATATTATTAACTATTTTTGCGAATTGTGTTGCTTTAGCGGTTTATACTCCATATCCATATAGCGATTCCAATGTAACTAATCAGGCTTTGGTATGTTTTATGATCATAATACGCAGATGCTTATTTAATTATAAACTTTATTTTTTACAGGAAAAGATAGAATACATATTTTTAGTAATATTTACAGCAGAATGTGTTATGAAAATAATTGCTTATGGATTCTTACTACATAGCGGATCGTATTTGAGAAATGGGTGGAATATTTTAGATTTTTTTATTGTGGTTATAGGGTAAGTGATATTATTTTGACTTCTTAACCCGCACCTATTTTACGATATGCAAATGTTCCCGTTTCTCCAGCTGGTTGAAGTTATTCAGTATTTATTCCCAATATCTGCTTATTATACCATAGCATGGTTTCTATTAACAAACCCGATATACTCTATTCACTTTTATGTGAATACCCATAGGTATATACTTATGATATGCATTATATGTATGAATTTCATAAACTGCTCGAAAAAGCTATGATTTCTTTACACGAAAATAGGAGAAATTGATAAATTGATTTTGGTATGGATAAATTTTATGAAGCATTAAGAAATATTTTCATTATGGTAGTATGTATTCTTTCTGTCGAGAAGGCAGGTTGATCTCTGTATAATTCTTCCCGGCGTGATCTGGACTACAATACTCAAGTGACCTCCCTCTAACAGGAATTTCTTCTGCCTTTGAAACGTTCTTACGTCACCTTTATCACTTTTTGAAACTTGATCAGTTATCCTTCTTGCATGATTTGTGCTGCCCTTTTAAACGTTGAGTTGAAATATATAAAATTATATAAATGTCTGGTTTACTTTCATATACATATTCACATATAGTAAAACTAATAAATTTAATGGTACTCATGCTTTTAATACTTTTTGGTAGCATGATAAGTACTGTTCTTTCAAATCTTATGAAGGAAGGCTTCGATGTAAAAGCTCTGAGAGCTTTCCGAGTACTACGACCTCTTCGACTAGTTTCTGGAGTCCCAAGTAAGTCCTTTTCTTAAGGTTATATGACACAATCAAATAGTATATATTATATAGAATAATTTAAGGGCAATGAATAACTTAAGATTAATGGTTGCTCTCCTAAAGCTGGACTGAACATTAGAAACCCGGTATTTAGAAGAATTTGTCACTTTGTTAAATTTTATTGGATTTATTTTACCTTGGTATACCATTAATACAAAAAAAATAATAGGAATGGTTAGCCATAACTGTTTTCCTAGAGTAATATAAGTAAAACCATATTAAACTGTTTCAAAAATTAATAGTGAACTGCACTTTAAGAAAACATGTAAATCATAAAAATTAAATTAGTGTGTATTTAAATACAAGTATGCATATAATCTTTGAAATATTTATATTATATTATGTGCTATGTTCACAGTTATTTAGCTCCTTTTCTATTTTTTGTTGTTAATTAATATCTTTTATTAATTTATAAAAGTAATAACAGTGATAAAGAGATGCCCAACTACTACCTGCGTGAGAGCGCTTCAAAATTTGCGTTTTTTAGTTAATTTTGCATGATTGCCAGATCAGACATTGGGCATTTAATTTAAAGCGCTCAACATAATAACGAACAAAATGATTATCCATTGACCCTTTAAGATATAGAGGAACTATTTAAATATCTTTTGTGATTTTTTAAAATATTTAAAAAAACGGGTTTTGAACTATCAATAATATATAATAGCATAGTGATTTAACTTGTTGACTGTAAATTACCAAAGGTTTTATGGTTTTCACTGGAAAATTAGTATCCGAAGGTGCAGACCACAAAACATTTCATCAGAGCAATAGTTTTTTTTCGACCAACAGTTGTTACAAATACCTCAAACTTATCTAGTTAGATATTGAGATATACATAATTTTTAATGATCAGGTTGTCGACACGGGTCGGATTTCGACTGGCTGTCTGTCCGTCTGTGCAAGCGATAAAGTAAAAATTAAGATGTCTTAATGAAACTGAATATGCGTTTTTTTGGCACTATAAGAAGATTGGTATTGCATATTCCTGTAATCTTGTAAACTACTGCAAGTTCGATAACTACATAAATACATCACAATTTGCAGCCAAGATGGTGCTTAAAGGCTTCATTGGACTCGCTGTAAAAATTGGACAATAGGCGTGGCACATACATATCAGAATTTTCCTTATTATAGCAGACTTTATGTCGAACAATAAGTGTGTGAGTGATCCCCCCTTTAAGTTGCGATCCTCTTGTTGCCGGTTTCCTTACTTTGTTAATATTAGTTAATTGAGTTGATTTTAGTATAAATATTATAGGCACGAAGCAAAATGTATATATAAGTTAATAAGATACAAAATATGATTGTGATCCTTTTACAGTTTTGTGAAATAATGTGTGTTGAATCTTTACGCAAACCTTTTATACTCTTGCAACATGTTGCTACAGAGTATGACAGTTTTGTTCACCTAACGGTTGTTTGTATCACCTAAAAATAATGGAGTTAGATATAGGGTTTTAGGTGTATATATAAATGATCAGGATATCGAGACGAGTTGAAATCCGGATGTCTCGGTCCGTCCGTCCGTCTGAGCAAGCCGGGTTCCCTGGCAAAAAAGATGGACGAGTTCGGAGATGTTTGACAGGATCAGACTGCTGCCACGCCCACAAAACGCCAATAATCGAAAACTTATAAAATGCCATAACTAACCACTAAATTAAGATATAAAACTGTAATTGGGTACAGAGGATTGTAGTAGCTTGGAGCACCTGTGTGTTTAAAAGTTGGAAAAAGTGGGCGTATCCCGTCCTCTAATAGGTTTAATGTACATATATCTCTAATCCTTTAATGTACAATAACCAAATCCTACTAACTAAAAACTACTTAAAGTGTGATAAATTAATAGCTAAATGCGCTTGAGACATTAAATTTTACACCCAGGGCTTTAAAGGAGCCGGAGTCACAATGGACGATGGGCGTGGTACCGCCCACATTACGTGAAATTGCAAATCTCCAAACTTACTCGACCAACTTCAACTAAATTCAGTACATAACTTTATCCTGATCATGTTACATTGTGAAAATGGGTGCAATCGGACTAAAACCACACCTACTTCCCATATAGCACTATTTTAAACTCCATATGGTTCTTTCACTTTCCAGTACACAAATCCAGCACGAATGAGTATATTCGGATAACAACTTGCAAAAATAGTACCTTTAAGGTATGCCATCTCGAGTCTAACAATTATCGAAACCGGACCACTGTTCAAGCCTCATACATCGAATATGTGGATCCCAGTGCGTATAGCCGACTTTTTACTGAAATTCGGGGACAATATTTCTTTGATAATAATATAACGGTACTTAACCGACTTTGATCCTTGTAAGTTGCAAGAGAAGCAACTTTGCTAAAACCTAAAAGTATTCTCCCGGCTTCGACCATTGCGAATCGCGAGAGTATAATACTCGAACTCAGCTATTCCGGTTATACTCGAACTCAGCTATTCCATACTTGTTACGTACATTAGTAATATTGCACGGTGGTTACAAATGTTTCTGTTGACTAATTTTGTAGCAAATTTACATTCTGCCCCTTCCAGTCTTTCCAGTTGCTAAATGTCAAACCTCCAATTAGCTCTCAAAGTTGGGAAGGTGATTTACGCTCTCAACTTCCAGTGACATCAGAGTAGGACATCTCTGTATCTCTGATAATAACGTGCAAGTGTATCTAATGTTCGGTCCGTACTTGTTTTCCTTTTTTTATTCTTCATTTATTATTATGTATATAAACAATATTTCAAAAAATAATTTACAACTTTACCTGCTATTAATTAAAGGCTTACAGGTTGTACTGAATTCGATCCTTCGAGCTATGATACCACTATTACATATTGCTTTACTAGTTTTATTTGTCATTATCATATACGCAATTATTGGATTAGAGCTGTTTTCTGGAAAATTACATAAAACTTGTCTTCGCCCAGATACTGGTTAGTCATTTATATAGGTAAATAATAATTAATATTACATTTTGTGTAATTTACTTCGTAAAATAAAGGTGAATATATGAAAGATGAACACCCATGTGGTACTGGATTTCAATGTCAAGAAGGTTATGTATGTCATGAAAAGTGGGATGGCCCTAATTATGGCATAACTAATTTCGATAACTTTGGTTTGGCTATGTTGACCGTGTTTCAGTGTGTTACTTTAGAAGGTTGGACAGATGTTCTATATAACGTAAGGATACTACTCACGCATAAACTTAGCTTTGGTAGTTGGTTTATATTCGTATTTATATAATAGATTCAAGATGCCATGGGTAGTACGTGGCAATGGATTTACTTCGTTTCAATGGTTATATTAGGTGCCTTTTTCGTAATGAATTTAATTCTCGGTGTGTTGTCTGGCGAATTTTCAAAAGAGCGCACAAAAGCTAAAAATCGTGGAGACTTTCAAAAACTTAGGGAAAAACAACAAATAGAGGAAGATGTGCGCGGTTATCTGGATTGGATTACCCAAGCGGAAGATATTGAACCAGATGTCGATGGTAATTTAATGCAAGATGGAAAAACAAAGCAAGTCAACGAGGCCAACTCAATGGATCAAATGGAAGAGGAGGGTCAAGAAATTCAAATATCTGAATCCTGGTGGCGTAGGAAAAAAAAAGATCTAGATCGTCTGAACCGCAGAATGAGACGGTCCTGTAGAAAAGCTGTAAAATCGCAAGCTTTTTATTGGCTCATTATAATGTTAGTGTTTTTAAATACCGGTGTACTTGCTACCGAACATTATGGGCAACCAATTTGGCTTGATAATTTTCAAGGTAATTGCTTCAATCACAATATATCCTAATTATAAAGTGCAATTCTTCTTCCAGAGTACACAAATATTTTCTTCATTGGACTATTTACCTGTGAAATGATGCTTAAAATGTACAGTTTGGGATTTCAAGGATATTTTGTGTCGCTGTTTAATCGTTTCGATTGTTTTGTTGTGATTGGTAGTATAACGGAAACAATACTAACAAACACGGGTATAATGCCACCATTGGGAGTATCAGTATTACGTTGCGTTCGACTCTTAAGAGTTTTTAAGGTTACAAAGTAAGTTTGTCATTATGTTGGAACCAATTCCACAATTGGATCATTCCATTTTTGAAGTTATATATTAAATTGTTAAGTCCGTACAAAAGGATGAATGAAACAACTTCGGGATGTCTGTCCGTCGACAAAGGATCACATCTACATCTCTAAAGGCATTGTTGAAAACTACGAGCTATGACTTTGTATATTATAACTCGATGTAACTTGGATAGAATAATTAATAATGCTTAGAATTTTGTCCATACTTTTCAATAGCCATATATCCATTATAATAATTTTCGTCTAAATAGTACACATTTCATATATATTAGAGTTAAATTAATAATTAATGTTACGATAAAATTATAGAAGAATGTTTCGCTTAGAATTATGTGATTTGGTACCAACCATAAGTGCCTTTATAAGATGATTTTACTAAATTATATTAGTTCTTCAACGTACATATGTATATATTTCGGATACTGAACAAGATAATTTGATAGTGAAATATTGTGCAGGATGATGTGATAACAAAACGCAAGCAATTAGCTTATAAATTCAGACTGTATATTTTTCTCATAGTAATGTGCCTTGGTGCCAAAAATGGATAAAATGGAAACCATCACCTTGACCCCATATACCTAATATGACAATTTTAAAACTTCTGATTGACATTATATCGTATATATAGGTCAATATGTAGGATGTGTTAGCAAAATTAAGTGAAAGTACAATATTGTATATACAATGGTTTGGTGATGCAAATGGATGACATCGATCCATGAATCACCGCAGTTCCTATGTACTACATGTAACAACTATTTTTATTCTATATTATTATTGTATCTTTATGGGTAATAGTCCAATTCTGCCCACTTGTAATACCAACTTCTTTTTTTTTACTCAAATTATCACTTGCACGGACAGACGGGCGGACAGACAGTCATCCGGTGTTCAACTCGTTTCGTCGTCCTGATCATTTTGATATCTTTCTCGGCTAATTTTAGGTGTTATAAATACTAATTGAGTGAAAAAAACTATTATAGTCCGTTGCAACATTTTGCGAGAGTTTAATTATTTGAGTATAAACTTTTTGATTTAACAGTATATTAGTTTAAGATGTCGATCATAACAGGGATCTGACTTAGACAGTTTAAAACGTCAATTTGTTTGTTTGAATATTTATTAAACGGCAGACCATTAATACGTTGTCAATCACAATTATTTGCTTTACAGGTATTGGCGATCTCTTTCCAATCTTGTGGCATCATTGTTGAATTCAATACAGTCAATCGCTTCCCTCTTGCTATTGCTATTTCTTTTTATAGTAATATTTGCTCTTTTGGGTATGCAAGTTTTTGGAGGAAAGTTTAATTTTAAACCATCAGAAGAAAAACCTCGTTGGAATTTTGATTGCTTTTGGCAAAGTTTATTAACTGTATTTCAGGTAATATTTGAACACTATTTTAATATAATAAAATTTTTGCATAACTAAGCCTCGGAAGCTTAGCCCCAGAAACCGAATATAGAAAGTTTCGAAATTTATGAAATTGATGTATTCCATATACCTATACACCGCTCGTTTTGAGACGAAATCACATGTTTGTTGCTTTTGTATACCTTTAGCCAAGTTAACAACTTTTGCTAGGTCAATGACCCTTTTGTTTACTTTTAGCTAAGTCAACAAAATTTGTTTATTTTCAGGTCAATGACCCCTTTGTTTACACTTTATGGGGTTAATGATCCCTTTGTTTACATTTTATGGGATCAATGACCCTTTTGTTTAATTTTAACCAAGTAAAAAACTTTGTTTACATTTAGGTCAATGACCCTTTTGTTTACTTTTAGACACGGTAACAACCATTCTGTACATTTAGGTAAATGCCCTTTTAATTACTTTTAGCCAAGTCAACAGCATTTGTTTACTTTAAGTCACTGACCCTTTTGTTTACATTTTATGGAACAATCCCATCTACATATTATTAAATTCAATCAGATATTCTCACATAGATAAATCAAAAATCATTGAGAGTGTCGGAATAAACCTTTCCACAGCTCTATTTGTACATCAAAGTGTGGCATCTCTTGTCTACAAATTATTGCATACGAACTATAACTTTTCCAGACCCCAAATACCAAATATGAGTACCTCAGTTCTGTTTTATACAGAAAATTTCCTGATAATAATGTGAATAGTGCTAAAAGTGGATATAATTCGTCTATTTTTTCCTTGCCTCCATGTACTAAAATTAATTATTTTTGAACTCTGATTTCGGATAGTGGCGCTTACACCTCCATGTATTAACTTAACCTATTTAGTAAAAAGTCCACATTTAGTTTCTTAATGATTTGCAAAAATAACCTAGAAAACTATACCATTCTTGTTAAAATTAAAATATGGTATATGAAAATAACGCTTGATTATATGATTACAAAAAAACATACTAATTGTTAAGGAAATTCAAACGTTTTTTATTTAATGTGAAGTACAATCGATACAATTAAGTTGTGAATATAAAATTATTCAAATGGCCTCCAAGATTTCTTTTACAGGAACGAATTCGACGAACCCAATTTTCGAGTAATTTTTCCAATAAATCAAGTCGAATGTTATGAATAGCACGTTCAATATTAAATATTAACTTCTAAAGCCTGAAGAGAGTCTGGTTTATTGCTAAAGACCAATGACTTCAAATAACCCCACAAGAAGTAGTCTAATGGTGTGAAATCACAACTTCTTGGAGGACATTCAATGTCACAATTTCATGAAATTATCAAATCTCCAAACTTTTCTCGCATTAATTCGGTTGTGTGGTACGTTGCCCCGTCTTGTTGGAACCACATGTAGTCAAGATTAACTTCTTCCAATTGCGGCCATAAAAAGTTGGTTATCATCGATCTATACCGCCCTCCATTGACAGTGACGGTGTCACCAGCTTTATTTCGAAAGAAGTACAGACCGATGATTCCACCAGACCAAAAACCACACCAAACTGTCAATTAAGGTGATTGTAATGGTTGTTCGTGATTAATTAGTGGATTTTCTTCGCACTAGAATCGACAGTTTTGTTTATTTACCACACCACTCAGATGAAAGTGAGCATCAGCGGAGAAGATGATTTTCTCAAAACTTTTAACAATTCGCCGAATGACGAGCAGAGGTGGATCATTATTACGACCATGAAATGGTAAAAGCGCACGAAAAGTTGCAATTAGAGAACAATTATTTTGATAATAAAATTGAATAATTTGTAAACGTTGTTCCTGCGTATATCTTTCCCTGATGAAATTGTAAACATTACTGAATACAATGAAAAAAAACTACAGATCATGACATATCAAAAATGGCCGAAACGGCTCTTAGAATACATTTATACATCAAGGTGGAAAAAAATTTTTTTTTTTCACTTGAAACTCTGGAAAATAGATTTTTGTATACCTCTAAGAAAGTTTGTGCAAGTAGGAACTCTTAATTGTAATAGAAAGGTGCTCCGCTTAACAATTTTATATTTTTTCCTAATATCAGATGGAAATATTGAAATCTCGCTTCCAACTACTTGAAAAAATATCTCATAGATTTTGTAGGAAATTGAATGCTCTACACAAAAGTCTTTTACGATTTTTTCGTAAACTTAACCGTTTAAAAAATATTAACGGTTGAAATTCGATTATTTTAAGGCAAATATTTTTTTTATGAATTTTATAACTCTGAACTCTCTTTTTCCAATGAGTTATAAAATTATAAAATAAAAAAAATTATCAAATTTGAACCATTAATATCTTTTAAACGGTTAGCTTTACGAAAAATCGTAATAGACCAACAAAATCTATCAAACGAGATATTTTACAAGTGGTTGGAAGCGGGATTTTAATTAGTCTATCTGATAATAAGAAAAAAATAGAAAACTGTAAGGCGGACAACATTCCTGTTACAATTAAGTGCCATACTTGGAGAAACTTTCTTAGAGCTGTCTAAGAACCTATTTTTTAGAGTACCAAGCTAAAAATATATTTCGGGGTTTTTTGACACGCCTTAATATACATACATATATACGAATACGTACCTACTTTAAATACGCAAATGACTTTTGTCTAATTTTTAGATTCTTACTGGTGAAGATTGGAATGTTGTTATGTATGACGGAATACTTGCCTATGGAGGAATAAAAACATTTGGAGCATTGGCATGCATTTACTTTATAATTTTATTCATATGCGGCAATTATATATTGTTGAACGTTTTCTTGGCCATTGCTGTTGATAATCTAGCTGATGCAGATTCTTTAACAACAATCGAAAAGGAAGAAGAAATTGATGATGATAAAAATAACAAGTCACACAGCCCCACTCCAACTATTGAAGGAGAGGAAGAGGAAAATATGAATATTGAAATGGATGCGAACGGACATTGTATTGACATAGAAAAATTGTAAGTTCAATTTTGCGGAGTTTTTGACTCCTGACGGTTTACAGCAATCTAATTAAACTTTTGAGTATTCAACAATTTGAAATACATTATTTTCTCAAAAATATAATATCAGGGATGAGGATACTCTTTCTGAAGATGAAGAGGATGAAATATGTGATGAGGACCTAGAAGGTAAGTTTTCAACGATTGTGTATTAAATAAAACAAGTTGGATTTTTTAAGCATTTCATTTAATTAAGATTTTAAATAGCATAATTCTAAAATGTGGTTTATAAAAATTTATATATTTTAGGCCATTTTTTTAATATACGTTTGTACAAATAATTACACATTTACATGTACATGTATAAATTCAGGATATAAATGTTTTCCCAACTAACTTTTATAAAATTTAAACGCTTTTTACCCTATTCGTTGTCATTAAAACCCTTATTAACAATGTTTAGAATCCCGTTCCGAAGTAACACCTAGAGCAACTGCACGACCTCGACGTCTTTCTGAAATCAGCATTAAGAAGACTAAAAAACCTATGCCAAGAGGAAGTTCATTTTTTATATTTAGTAACACAAACAGGTAATTAAAAATACAGAAACAAAAATAAATAAAAATCTTTCCTTTGCATGAGTTTTAACATACATTATTACACTAAAATTAAATGTTGCAAAAATAAAACGAACTAATGCATAAAATTGCTTCAATTTTGCTGTCCGAATAATTTTAACATTCAGAAAATATTACATTAACACATTGAGATTGTGTTCATATGAATTATACATTCAAGAAATCAATGAATTTAATCATATCTATCAGCACTTAATTCCACATTCTGACCCAAGTGTTCCGGATGCTTATTTTGGGAAACATACTTTGCGAACTAATTTCCAAGGTTATTTATGTTGTCAACACAATGTCAATACTTTTGTGCTTCGTTTTAATACTAGGTATAGTGTTCCCATAGTAAAATCAACTAGTTATAAGTTAAGTTTACCTAAAAAATTTAGTTCAATTTTGAACTAAATTCAGCGTCATAAAAGAAATAAAATTTTAAGTTACATTTGTATATACCCTGCCTTAAAACGAACCAAAGATTGTAAATAAGACTAGTAATAGGATATTACATAAAGAATAGAAAGAAAAAAAATGTATTCAAGTTTCATAGAGGTTTTGTTTGTATGCATAATATTGCTATCTAATATAACTTTATTCTTTATTTAAAAAGATATTTATTACTTTTTGATTTGCTATTTAAAATTATATATTTTATTTTCAAAAATGGTTTGATTGCAAACAACTTTGGAATAACATCTAAAACTTCGAACATTAAATCATTTAAATGTATAAATGTAAAGAAGAGGATGAAGATGTGATTACAGCCAGACCAAGACGAATGTCTGAAGTCAATACAGCTACAAAAATTCAGCCCATTCCAGAGGGTTCATCTTTCTTCATAATGTCTCAAACAAACAGGTTTTTAAATTAATTATTGATTTTTGTTTATGTTGCTTTGTTGTTTTTAACCCAGGGTATACGTTTGTAGCTTTCAAATTTCAATCATGGTTGGAAGAATTAAAAAAAAATTGCCTTCTAAGCTTAACTAGGCGTATAATTTGATTTTTTTAAGATAATTTAGTATGTCTTTTTGTCGCTTGCGTCATTTAACCATGGGATTGTTTACTAAATTGGTAAAATTTTCATATCAAGTATGTAACATATCTATCACAAACCTATGGGTCTTTAGTTGAATTTTTTTAAAAATATTATTTAAAGATTCAAATATAATCAATGTAAAGAATATAGATATATGAGACCCTTATGTTAGTTGCATGTTTATATTAAGTACAATGTGATTTATGTATATCTATATTTAACACACTTTACCACACCCAGAATATAGAAATAACTTAATACACTTCTTATAGACTTACCGTTTGTTTTTTCTGAATTGCACAGGTTTCGTGTATTTTGCCACTGGCTTTGTAATCACAGCAACTTTGGAAATGTTATATTGTGTTGCATTATGTTCTCATCGGCAATGTTGGCAGCAGAGGACCCACTACGGCCAAACGCCGATCGTAACAAAGTATGAAAATAGTATTAAAGTAATTAAATATAAGTTGGTTTTATGATCTGAATTTGATTGAAATACGATCCACCTTAACTATATCCTTTTAATATACTTCTTTAGAAAACATTTAAATACAATTACGCTAACTTTTTTCTCGACTAAATTATATATTTTTAAATTAAAAACAGAACTAGCGAATAGCCGCATGTACACTTCATTGCAAAAGCTTTCTTTTTACTTTACAGGTACTAAACAAATTTGATGTTTTTTTCACGGGTGTCTTCACAATAGAACTGTTACTGAAATTGATTTCATATGGCTTCGTGTTGCACGATGGAGCCTTTTGTAGATCTGCATTTAATCTTCTTGATTTACTTGTAGTCTGCGTCTCCTTAATATCAATGCAGTCCAGGTAAGTTTTTCGTAAAAACGTATTATGGATAGTACAATACTTAGATACATTGTATAGATATATAGACTTAGATACTTAAAACTGTAAGGAATAATTAAGTTCGTATAGATCATTAAATACTCATGTCGCAAGTAGCGTTTTTTACACTAAGGCGGTTGAAAAGCCTTTATCCTGACCGAGAGATCACAAAACAAGTCATGACATTTCATCCAATCATTCTCACAAATTCAGCAATTTTGGATTACAATAGCCAAAATGTATTTACTGTTTCGATAAAACATTGTATCTTGATTGGAAAAAACACGGTTGATGCAAAACAATGGCTTGATAAGTGTGGCGGTATATCGGCCCATCATATTCAAGTTCTCGTTTGTTGGTAAAAGTTACAAATATATAATTTCAAAATTTCTAATTTGTATCTGAAATTCAATTGAGAAACCCTTTTACTTTTACATTACAATTTCTTTTTCCTTATTTACGAGTATAGTACTAAATGAATTGTTTGTCTTTTTCAACCACAGTTCGAATGCGATTTCATTCGTGAAAATATTAAGAGTACTTCGCGTTCTTAGGCCTCTGCGTGCCATTAATCGTGCCAAAGGACTCAAGGTAAGGAAAAAGTGACTATTAATATTGAATTGAATATTATTAAATCGTTTTTATAACATTTTGAGTTATGTTAAACAAATCATATTTTTACAAGGTTAGCAATAAATTTATTTGACTTAAAAAATACTTATTAATTTTATAAATTGTATGAGTCTGTAGGTTTTGATTTTCCTTATTATTATTATTGTTACAATTATAATATATAATAAATATATAGGATTTGTGAAACGAAAATATTTACTAACATTGGCTAAACCTAAGTAAATTTTGTAGCTTCAATTTAGTATTATTAGGCTCATGTATGTTTATGTATATTTTTATTTATTTATTTATTACTATTATTTTAATAAAGAGACAAATACAAAGTATTTAGTTTTGCAAGGGGCTACTTGACCAAAAGAAATTATTAATATGTGTCCAACAATGTGCTGTTCAGTATTAAAAACAGTCGAACAGTAATACCAAAGTAATTATATGCAATGCAATGAATATTAACTATTTCGTATTTTAATATATAACATGTACATATTGCTGTAATTTTATGTTATTTATTATTCAAACACAATATATGTATACAATATATTGTAAAATGTTTTGTAGAGTAAGAATATTTGATATATATGTAAGTTTTAAAATTTCTACTTAAGTCTATATTAATATTCTAAAATCGATATTTCTAACCATACTAATTTCTTATTATGGCTTGGTTTTAGTACCAAAGTACATCATAAAAATGAATCAAAGATATTTACCTCAATTCAAAAATTTTAATTGGTGTTTGAATTAATATTCGAAGATAAAGAGCAGCTGTTTTCGATTCGCCAAATATTGAAGAGCAGCGAATCAACCAGATTTTACTACAAGTAGATGTTCAAACAGACCGACAGAAATTAAAAAACTTAATTTGTTCTTAATAATACATTCGATATGTTATTTTGTCATTTCAGCCATTCAAAATAGTAAAAAAAATTGTCCAACAAAACTAACATTAAATAAATATGATATAAGGTATCCATATACTCTCTTGTGTCAAATTTAACTTGCAAATTTTGGTATTACTTAAAAGTTTAGAGCGTTACAATAATAGCGAGCATAGAACTGGTGAACAGATGATGTAGGTATGGCGGTTGCTCGAAGACTTTGTCTGGTTGGATATACTCTGATATTGAAAACTGAGTTGGACATTATGAATTTCTGACAGCAAGTGGTTTTCAGATAGTAATTCTTAAATCAACGGGGTGTGCACCACTGTAGACCGTTTGTTCATTGATATACACATTTTTCTTTACATGCCAAACAGTGTTTTTGGTAAACATTTGGTTTTAGGCAGCCTTAATTCTGTACCTTCTTTGGGTTATAGGTATATATATAAATGATCACGATGACGAGACGAGTTAAAATCCGGATGTCTGTCTGTCCGTCCATCTATCTGTGCAAGCTGAAACTTGAGTAAAAATTAAGATATCCTAATAAAACTTTGTACACGTGTTCCTTGGCAAACAGTTAGGGCGAGTTCATAGATGGGCGGAATTGGCTCCCTGCCACGCCCACAAAATGCCCATAATTGAAAACCTAGAAAATGTCATTACTAAGCACTAAATTATGATATAATAAAAGTGTAATTTGGCACAGGAGATCACAGAGGCACCTGTGCTCAAAAAATTTTGAAAAAACGGGCGTAACTCCGCCCGCAAAGAGGTTTAATGTACATATCTCCTAAACGACTAAGGGTACAACAATCTGATTTTTTCACCAAAAATTTTCTTTTTTTTTATAATTTACAGATTTTACCCTCAGGCTAAGCAAAAAAAATTTGTTGACGCTCCACCCTAATATATTATATATATGTATGTTTAGTGAAGTAACTCAAAGTGATCAAGAATAAGATACCTTGATAAATATGTTGATGACGGTATACGCGTTCAGCGGCGCTCAAAGAAGATTGGTATTGCAGATGAGTCAGACTATAAAAATGTAAATAAATAGTAAAAGTAATGCAAGGGTTTCCGTTAGCTCCAATATACTTTATGCACCTAATATAGTTATTTCCATCTTTCCCGTTGACTTTATACCGTTTATGTTATGTACATATATTTTAATGAAGTTAGATGGACATATATTCTTAATTTGGTTTAGTCCCGAATAATATTTCTAATATGGTATAATGATTTCCGCCCCTTAGGTTGACTTTTTCCTTATATAACCAATTGACTCCCTTTGGTTGAGTTAAGAACGGAAGATGTCTCAATAAAATTAATAGAGAACATTTCATTTAGAATTAAAATGTCGGACAAGATGTGTGTATTGTATTGTATTGAAATATCTGAACATTTTTCTTTATCAGTCCGGGTTAAATTTAAACACATGATATAATGGTATCGCGTCACCAGTTACTTATCTCTTATATACCTAATATGTTAAAATTTATCCATTTGGTTGAGTTTGTACCTCATATATCTCAAGAGAAGATATCTCAATTAAATTAAGACAGAATATTTTAATTAGTATTATGTCGTTCAGTAATAATAATTATGGGTAACGGTATACACCTCAGCTCTAATACCATAAGTATAGAGAATTGTGTTAGTTACTTTGATTTTACTTTGAATATTTCCCCTGTTTTGATTCCTGACTCTTGCGATAATATAAAATGTTCGGTTATACCCGTCTTTAGTTCTTTGTTTTATATATTTTAGCAAAAAAGTTCAAATTTAAACTCCAGTTGAAATTTTTAATTTGAGTAAAACGACTTTGCTTTATATGTGACACTAGGGTATTTTTTTAGACATGTGGTTTTTAAGAAGGAATAAAATGGATATAATATAACGTTATGGCCAAGAATTTGGCTTTATTATACCATGTCCCGACAGACACTTAATTACAAGATTTGGGCTGTTGAGTAGATTATCTCACTAATCTACTGGATTTAGTAAGATTTTGCCATACTAAAATGACACTTGTTAATCTCGTCACCGAGGTGATTTGAATTTAATGTACTCGAAATCTCCCTGTGCGGCTCTGATTTAGCGCCATCTGTTTGTCACATTTTGTTTTATCACACTGGTTTTGACACTACAAACTGTCAAAATGAAAAAAATCTAACAAACAAATAAAGTAAGAAGTAAAAAATTGAAGCTTACTTGAAAGTCAAAATAGCGGAAAATAGTATCAAATGTGGAGTGAGGCTGCCGGAGCCGATATAATAGAGTTGTTGCGAGAAAAATACCACATACCATACAATCGATCGGCTACTCAAAAACAGCTGTTTTATAAATCTTCAGCGGCAGTGAGGACAGTCTAGAGTAGTGAATAGATTATATGTAATCTAATCACTTCAACCTTTTGGTGAGAACATGATATAAGAGTATGCAAACTTCTTAGATTTCGATTTGCCTTGTTAAAATTCTATTTTAAAGTCGTGAGCCTATACCCATTTTAGTGGTGAATTCATACATACATAGGTATATAATTTCTACACTCATGAGTTCACAAACTTATATTACATAGCTAAGTAAACAAAGTTACTTACAATATAGCTTATAAAACTAAGAATATAGCAGTAAGGACCAAGCCTAAAATAAGTATTATTTATATAAATACATAAGTAAAGCCTATGTAAATATATATTTATGTTCATATTATTATGGAGGTAGTGAATATGAACTAAAACATACAATTTTCATTTTGTCTTTATAAAATTATATTATTATAGCATGTAGTTCAATGTGTAATAGTGGCTGTCAAGACAATCGGAAATATTGTCTTAGTGACTTGCCTTCTGCAATTCATGTTTGCCGTAATAGGAGTCCAGTTGTTTAAGGTATGATTTTGTGAGATATTTGACATTTTGTTTTCCTTTCTTTATTTTAATTTGATTATTCCGAATTGAAAAAGATATATCCTTTTGAAGAATTTATCTCAACATCAAATAAAAAAAAAATTGACTATATTAACAAAAAAAAAAAAAGTGTGTGATTCTGAAAGCTAAGATGTACCACTGCCTCACAGGTATTAAATATGTAAATGCATTACTTGAAAAAAAAAGCTAGCTAGCTTTTTTATTGAAGATTATCGTATTTAAGACGAGTGTAAAAATAAAAAGAATATCGGTTGATTAATTCTAACATCGGTTGTTTATACTCGTCTTAAGAAATAATTGAAAATGATATTAGCTTACAAACATCATCATTTTCAAAATCACACCTTTTTAAAAAGATTGATAAGTTTGTACATACACTTAAATCTGAAAATAATATGGTATTACTTTTCATATACACTCAATCAGTCATAAGTTAAAAAACATAGTAAAATTTTGTCATGCATATCAGAACTCCCATCTTGCTGAAGGTTTTTAGATTTTAAAGACACTTAATAACTGGAAATTGTGGTAAATTGTTAGTTGATCCGCACTGAAATATGAAGAGGGAAGGATGTCTTTATTTAATAATAGTTTAGCGCATATGCACTAAAGGTGCCTGCTTTTTGTTCTTCGTCAATGCATAAATATTTTCAACATCACATTCAAGTAGGGATTTTATACTATTGAGTGTATATGAAGAGTAAGTTCCAGTTATTATTATTAATAGAGTGCATACTCTATTTATATCTCCATTTGGTTTTCTTCAGCTTATGTTCAAATTTCAATGAGTTATATCAAATCTACTAACAAATGTTTGCATACGTTTATTCTCATTTTTAAATAAAACTATTTTGATTGCCTTGAAATAACTATTAACAGCTTCTTTTGAGATTTGCTTAATCACACAATGTGCTGCTTTTAATAATCATCTTGTACTTATGTAACAAAGGGGTTAAAGCTTTTAGTTGCCTTTAGTAAAATTATTCTTATTTTTTTAAGAGAAATATCTTCCCTTATGTGTACAAATATACAAACATATATGTATTTGAAAGATTGTAAATGTAATTTAGATTCTCAGTTCACATGCAATTAATGTCCCCATAAATATTTCGAAATATATTTGTATTATTTATAATATATTGATATTTTTTATAACATTTAAGTGAAAGATACGACCTATCTATGTTGTCATTTATAAAGTTTAATTACTTCAATCATGAATGCCATCCGTATTAATTAATGAAGTATATAACGAAATTATCAAATTATTTTATTATATCTTTTCTTACAATTATATAATGCATGACACAGGATTTTTTACAGACTAAATTAAAAATTTGAAATGTAAAGAGTACAGGAACTTAATAAAATCTCTGTTGTGTAAAACCATATTTAAACTCTTGCTTTTGCAATTTTCACTATGGTATATTGACATTAAAGACCATGTGCTAATGATTTAATTTATTTTGGTTAAGTCATAGAGAGTTAATTAAAATTTTTTATTAGTATAGTATTTTTTATTGCGCATAGCTATTGATTTCACTATACTGGAAAATAGAGAACAAATATCCGTTTCCAATTTTTGTGAATTATTGTTGAAAGTAATTGCCAGCATTAATTAAAAAAAACATATCGTTTGAACATAATTTGATAAAATATATGTTTAATCTTATTAATACATCAATAACATTTTAAATGCCACTTAAATATAAGAATTTTTAATTAAGGAATTTATTAAAAGTTGACACGTCGTAAATAAATCAGAAGAAAGTATAGACATTTTCTCACTAATAAAAACTAGATCTAGCAAGATTTCGCCATACAAAACTGACACTTGTTTATCTCGTCACCGAGAATATTTTAAGCTAATCTACTTGAAATCTCAGTAAGGACACATGATCACACCTGAGTTAGACACTACAAAGAGAAACAAAAATGTAAACAATTAATTAAAAACAATGTATCTGAATCCACCATTATTTCCACTAAATGAAAAATATTTAAAACAAGACGATTTTTATAACAAAACACGACGCGACAATGTTTTCTTTTAATAAATATTAAACGAAGTGAATTTTTTAATGTCATAACCAGTTTTTTTATAAACCTCCAACGGCAGTGATTAAATGTAATCTACTCACATAAAATTTTTGGTCGGAACATGGTGTTACTCACATTCAAAAATCTCGCTCAACCCGGAAATTCCCAGCGAGGCAGCTTTGTTATACAATGACTCCATACTGTATAATATTTGTGGCTTGCGCTCAAAGTAAGCCTCGCTGTTTGATAACTGAGCTTACAAATCACCCCTCTAGAAAAATGTGCAGTCATCAATTTATGGCAATGGATTCCAAAAAAGTGCCCTGTTCGGGCTGACCTCCATGTACTTCTAATTATTTTTATTCACTTGAACATAATAATTCGGTAAAAGCTTAGAAAAAACATAAATAATATGTAATGTCATATATAGTTACTAGAAGCCGAAAGTTAAATGCCTTTATTACGGCTTGCAACTCCACTCAGTTGAATTGAAGTTAAAGTAATTCAACCTCAAATCTACCAAGCTCTTTTTTGATATAACGAACATCAACTAATTTCAGTCGAAGTTTCATTAATGTTGCTAACCTTCAAAAAGTAAAGAATGGCCAGATGAATAAACAGCAGAGAATTTGGAACAGAAAAATTAGATCAACACAGCTATTGCTCACTAAATGATGAATAAATAATAAAATGGACATTAGTTTGATCTACATTACAATGTCGGAAATATTGGGGCCAAAACTAATATGCTGCACATATGAAAAAGTCTTTGTGATCACTCAAGTCCATTGGAACTTCCTAACACCAAGTAACCAACATCAAAGTTTTATTGACCATTAAATATTTACAAGCGATTTTTGTTCAAATAGGGAAGCCTTTTGACGGACACTGTTGAAAACTGTAATGACACAAAATAGTTGAACTTCGACAATACTTCAACCGCAATTTTTTTTGGCGCATTGAGTTGATATCGTTAATACTGAATTTCAAAACAAAATGCAGTTGAGTTGGAAACCGGATATCGGCTTAAATTTTATTTTCTGAAGTCTAAAAGTATAGATATGTTTATGTATGTACTTGTATATAGTATTATCGTATATTCAATTCTACAGTGATTATTGTCGTTCAAATTATTCAAAAAAATAAAACGAAGTTGGGCAATATATAATATATATAAATATAGTATATATAGTTTGAATAAATTTGATCCACACAAGTTAGCCCCACGCACACATCTTTTGTTCAGTTTAACGAAATATTCTTCAGTTCTTTAAACATACTACCTAATAATATTAAAATCCATATTATTATTGTGATTATTATTATTTATAATATGACTGATATTGACATAGACAACTGTAAAAAGAGGTTATTTGAATTTTATCAATGATTATCGTTTCTTGATAGTGCATACATTATGAGACTTTGATACCACCTAGTAGCACTAACCATAAAAGCATATGAATAAATTAAATGCAACAAGAAATGAATAAATTTTATACATATATTATATAATTAAAGCATACCTCTTATGCGGATTTTTCTTAAATCTAACCTACATGTACATGTACATAAATATGATATGAAGAGATCAAAAAGCAAAATAAATAAATTTTATAACTGTTTGATTTAAAAGTATATTTCTTTTTACAGTAGCTAGGCCATTATTAATAGTATCCCTAAAATAATATGTATTGTGTTATGAGACTACTTAGAAAAGTATTTTTATTTGTAAATTATGAAAAATGTGTGTTCTTTCTAAAATAATATTATCATATATTTTTTAATAATTTGTAAGTAATACCCTAAATAATTCTAGAAATAGATATAGATATATGTAATAATGCCTCTCCATAATTATAACGACCTTTTTCTTTTCTTTTTTCGTTTCTTTCCATATACTTACACGCACTTACAACTTAAAATAATGTTTATTATAAACCATGAAACAAACAACCACGATGAAATAAATACATATTTACATAAAAACTATAATGAACATTACATTATTAAACATGATACTGAAAATTCGATTGTTTTACTGGTTCGGAACATGTCGACATATAAATATATTTTCCACGCTACTGACTCCTCCTCCTTCCATCGTTATAAACTTTTTGTTTAATTACTCACGGCTTTTTATAAATTATTTATATGCTCTCATCGCCCCGATCATTACTTAATTAATCAATTTACATATATGTATCTAAATAAATAAAAACATAAAATATACTACAATAAATTATTCATAAAAAACATAATGTATAAATCTAAAAATATATTCTACAATTTTCACTCATACTTAATCAGTATGTTGTAAAATGTGTTGTTGTCGCGATAAAAACAATTGGTAACATTATGCTAGTTACCTATTTGTTACAATTTATGTTTGCTGTCATTGGAGTGCAACTTTTTAAGGTAATTTTGTTATGGTCATTAAAATGACAAGAAGCTGGGTCTTTGTTTGTACATATGTACATACTTATGTTACATATGTGGTTGCAGTAAAAATTATCATCTGTGGACTTACTTTCGCGATTTTTAGTTTATAAACGATAACTTGATTTGCGAATAACTTGTACCGATTACATAATATAATTTTGCAAAGAGTATAATAATATCAAGATAGATACGGAGTTAAACATATTTAATTAACCGAAATGGAGAGATGGATTTGTTTTATGTGTGTCCATCCGTGGAATCGATAACAGGACTAAGTATGCTTTTTTTAATCTTCATTATTCCTTGACACCCTGGAGTAGTGGCGTTGTTACTCCACGAAGTTATAACCAAATTTAGTATTTAACTTGATATCATAATACCTTGAAGTTGGAAAGTGGGCAAAATTGGATCACAACCAGAATGAGCGCTTCCATATTAAGTTTCTATTTTAAGTTCTTTGAACTTATTTGGCAGTAGATAATCCATGGCGCTAAGCCGTGCGAGGATCGCCATAATAAAAAAAAGACAAAAGTTTACTTAAAGGAGTTCAACAAATTTGCAAGCCGGATGATTAGATAAAAAGCGAAGTTTAAATTTGTAACCCGAAAGTTGCAAGAAAGTCTTGTCGGTTGTTGTAAAAAGGAAACCAAATCCGTGCAAAACAGGTTGCAGCTTATATCACATAAGAAAAACGAAGCTCGTTAGAGAAGAAACTGAGAAAATGTGGAATCTTTGAATAAAATCTACATCTTGCAGTCGTAACCACTAGAAGATAAGTGGGATTAGTCCGTAGCTTAACAATATATGTATTCAAGTTTTTATTGAAAACGCGTAACTGCCATGAATACTGAATTTTTAGATTTGTTAAACGAACGTTTGAATTCAATATTTTGTTTTGTTATTTCTTGTAGTGGATCAATGAACTTATAGCCAACGGTTTTGTTTGTGTTAATATTTTAATTTATTAACTCTCGCAACATTTTACACAGAGTATAATAGTTTTGTTCACCCAACGGTTGAATTGTATGTAACATTTAAAACTAATTAAAATAGATGCGGTGTTCATTGCTTATAACTAGGTTTTTACCGATAATATGAGTCAATCTGTGAGACATATTGTTAAATTTCAGAGATAATATTTCCCTGATAATAATGGATAAGATCGGGTCAATAGAAGGGGAATAGAAGATCGTTTACCATGTAACCAGTTACTTAGATTTGCAGCACAAGTTTGACTATGATGTGAAAAAGACCAAGGTTAAAACAAAAGCGGCGCCTCCATAACGCGCAAGCATAACCGGCATTACAAATTAAGAAGTAATATGTAGTTAGATTTGCTTGGGCGTAGACAAAGTATATTACGATGCTAATATATTAATTTACATAAACTTTCATCCCTTGATTATAACACTTCTAAAAAGTGAACTTTTTCGGGTCTTGGCATTTTAAACACTACGACCCAATTGTATTATGAGTATGCTGTAATTCAATATAACATGATTTTATTTTTTCAAAAAAAAAAATCATAACTCAAAAATCCTTCGTGTTTTTACTATCATTTTCGGTTTTAGCCACCCAAAATTAGCAAGAAACAGCCTCTGAAAATGACTGTAACTAGTGTTATAGTTATTTTAGCATATTTGTACCAAATAAAATTGCGCTAAATCATGTTCTCGAAAATACTTGAGTAATGAAAAAAGTTACGCAGTCCAAATAATGCTGATGCACTGATATTCGACTTTCCAGCTGACTCTAAAACTTTTAATGGTCAATATGTGTGATCTTTCAATAACATTTTTAACTGGGTATCTTTTCTCATTGTATCAACATTGTGTGGTTTAGCGGTGAATATGAATGACATCGTTTTGAATCTTCGTCTAAAACCCATATTATAATGTAATGATTTCCAATCCTCTAGTTGACTTTTTCCTCATATACCCAATATATTTTATTCACTTTCAGACCCTTTGGCTGGTATTTGGAATCGTTTAACCATATGTCCATATGGCTCCCTCTGATCCTTTTCTCTGGGAAATTGCTGACTATAAATTCCTCATAACAGAAAATTATCAGTTATGACACTAAATCTATCATAGCTGAAAATTGTCTGTTATGACTGAAAATCGATCACAAATACAAAACTCTTTTGCGCAGTAGATAAGATAATGAACATCTAAATTAAAAAGAAAATTAATTTAAAATGTGCCGGTTTTTAGTTTTGAAACTTAGATACCTTGCACATGCCTCTTTTCCATCCTTTTATCTTTTTTAATAAAAAGCGGCAATACGTTATTCCAACTTGAACAATGGTCAACTTGTTGGACTTTTCGCAAAGAATAACAGCCATTATTGCTATCTCTTTTTGACGTATACAAAATTTTCTTTCGAAAACCGTAAACAATAATTTTACTGTTCATTTGACCGTCAGTACTAACGAATTCAGCTAGTCCATTCGTAAAGCTATAGCAGGTATTATAAGCCGTAGGTCCTCTTTTGAACAACAATAGTGACGATCAATTGTCAAGCAAATTGAACGTCACGACCGACATAACAAATGTGAGTGTATTGGGGAACCCATCAGCAGTTTCTTATAGGGTTATAACAGAGAATGCTCATGAATAGAGAAGGCACAAATTTTAAATCAAATCTTTTTGAGTACTAATTTGCAGAAAAATTCAATACGCAATATGTGGGACGACGGAAAGGGGTATAACGAGACACAAAGAATAATCTTAAATGAATTATCGATGCTCATGGCTATTTTACATTTATTTTATTTATTTAATTTCTATGATATTTAAATATAAATAGTGTTTTGAATTAAAAAGGAGGAATATTGGTAAAGACTCCAGAAAACTAAGCTTATTAAATCAAGGAAATATTTATGCATATGAAGACAAATATGACAAGCATACACGTACGCTTGCCCCGCACCAACAATGACCTATGCTCTTCACTTTTGTTTTATGCGAGAGCAATTAGAACGAAGCAAGTTGAACGATCAAGGGCAGTGTTGCCACTTGAGAAAATCTTTGGGTACCAAAATGTACACTCTTACTTTCCCATGGACATCGCCGGGAGTTTTATTGCTGCGAAGTGCGCTCTTAGGCTCAGGGAAGGGTTTATGAAAAGGTCCGAACAACGGCATGCCGAAATTCTTTCCTCCTTCAGATGCATTCCTGAACACTTGGATCACTGCGTCGCAGAGGATACTCGAGGCGGCGTTTTCGCTGCTGACATACATCTATCCCTATATGTGGATAGTAAGGAGTCGCCGAAAAAGGAGCGCAGTTATTCACGGAGGGGTCGAATCTAGAAGTGAAGCTTTAGGCTACCGAACCACTGTAGTGTTTTTTGGGCAGAATCGGCTGTTATTAAGCTGGCAGTAGACGTAGACTGTGCGACTGTGAGATGTTTTTGGCCAAAAGCAGAACGTAGGACATCTACTGAACTTACCCTTAGCAAAGTTCATCTTGCCGCAATCGTTGTTCTTACTGGACATTGTCCAACAGGCATTCATGTGGTAAGGCTAAAAATCTAGGCACTTTCTCCTCCATTGTCCAGCCTTTGCAAGACTGAGGCTGAAACATCTCGATATTCTTACCTTCGGCGAACCAGAAGACATAGCCAAAATTGACATTAGCCGCCTCAACACATTTGTGATAGACTCAAAGCGCTTTGTCGATTTGTAAGGGTCTTATGATCTACTATATTGGAGTTTCATGTACCACAACGGACCGGCGTTTTAAGCTGTCCAAGTGAGATCCCTATTAGGATCGACCTCTCAACCTAACCCAACCTACCTCTCAACCTAACCCAACCTAACACCCTTCCTATTCTTCAAGTCAATCGAAAATTTTCAACCAGTCCCTACGTAATTTTCGTTTTGAAGGTCAGGCGAGCATTTATCACAGCCAAGTGAAATTGTTAATTGACATGTCGCAAAAGTTTAAGTTTTCATTTACCTGACATCGATATCATTTTGGCTGATCAAGGGCGCACTGCCATATTATTATTTAGATATTCTTTATTAACCGACTTTATATCCAAAATTTTATAATTAGTGCGAATTCGTGTGTAATTATATTTTTACGTAAATATTTTTATATTACGTAAATAACCCCTAACGTACGAATATTCTATAAAAGCAATAAGCAATATAATGATAGGATAGAAATCCTCAGTTGAAACGCCTCTGTACATGGTGGGATGCCATGGAACGCCGACTTTGCGCGAACACGGAGCACACCTACATTGGGTTGTTGATAAAAAAAAATGTGTTCTGATCAAATTTTAGAATTAGCACTGATGGCTGCTCAAATTGTAAAATTGAAATTGTGGCTGGTTTGTTCAATTTTAATGAAATCATATAATCCTTTTATTTCAACTCCATTTATGTCATCCTCGCGCATTGGCATTTTCAGAGTGGTGTGGTTTTTTGCGTTCCTCTATAAAGCGGGGAAATATTCTTTTATGATGTGGTGAATTTTATTTTGAAGTTTCGCTTTTTCGATATTTCATTATATGAATTCACATTTTAGTACATCTAACATTTGTGTCTTCTCTATTATTTAACATTCTCTGCTTTAGCATTAAATGAATTTGGCTAATTTGCATTTCAAAACCCCTTCGTCCCTCAACGCAGTGTCCACGAGACTTATCTTCCATTTCAAAATGAAACTAATTTTTAGTAGAGAAGACAACTGAGTAAAAACACGTCAAGTGGACCCGCCATTTTCCACTTGATCATCGAATTTGAATGTGAGTATTTTTTCATAAAGTAGTCATCATGAGCAAGTAATCCCCCGCTCAGCTTTTTAAAATTTTAATTTTAACAACAATTTTTTTTTAATTGAAAATTTTTACTACTTTTAGTTAAAACATTAATAACTAGAAAACTATTGGTGATTTTTTAATGAAATTTTCAGGAGTTATAGTTCAAAACTTTTACTTTGAAAAAATGTGAATGAATTTAAATAATTTTTTTTTTTCAAATTGTTTATTAACTTTTAAGTTAAGAAATGAAAATTTTAATGACTTCTCCCTCAAAAAATTAAATTTTTTTTTTTAGTATTTTGCAATAAACATTAAAGTAACGAAATCCGTAAAAAAATTAGACTGATCGCGATTAGATTAAGCAAAAAAAAATTTTTATGACGGGCGGTCAGCGGTGCCGGTATAGCGCTGCCGGTATAGCGCTGCAGGTATAGCGGTTCGGCAACGCAACACTTAGAGTGTGTTGCATATTTCATTTGTATGTTGGGATGATGGTCTCACATTTTGCTTGCAGTGAATTAGCATGAATGTGGTAGAATAATACCTACCCGTTTAATAGTTTCAAAGAAATACTTAAGACGGGAATTCCCTAATCCAGCAGAATGTATTGAATACGGCCAAATTATTAACTGGAATGTCCTATTTTTTAAGTATTATAAATTCATAATTTCTTTAAATTGAATATTTTTGAGTATCCTAGTCATTGACTTATCTTTAGAGTTACTTAGTAATTATAAATAAGGAATAATACTTCATTTTTTAATTAAAAATATCGTTATTTTATGATTAATTTTATTTCAACAAATGAAAGATAATAAATTAAATAGTTTTTCTTAAATAAAAAAAGAAGTTAAATAATTCTTAAATATTGCTTTATTTCTTTTTTTTAACTTTATTGGTAACGATTTTACGGAGTCATGATCTTCTTGAGAGCAAAAACCAAAGTTAATTTTTTTAAATGCATTCTTACCCCATTCAAATAATGAAGTTGCATTGGTTATGTGCTTATCGCTTTCCCGTTGAAGACTTGCACGAAAAGCTTGCCTCTTAAAACTTCCTGCCAAACCATCACATGCTCTTTTCCCATGAGAAGTAGCAAAAAAATTCCATTCCGCGTCCACGATGAAATCTTTTTTATGATTTATTAAATTCACAAAATTATACTTATTTTTGTACTGAGAAGCAGCTCCGTCCGAAAAATAGGAAATCTTTTTTATTTTATCCGCTCCAAACTTATTTTTTAGAAATTTTATCAATTTAAAATTAAAAAGGTGAACTGAGCTCGCGTCGTGACTAATTTTTTCCGAAATTACCACGTAGTTTATATGTTTCATTTCTTCATTTTCTCTATAGTACACAACGTAAGGGTGAATTGTAGCCTGACTGGTATTCCAATGATGAGATTGGATGGCATTTTGAACAGTAAAAGTATAATTTTCAGAAAAATCAAGGCAAACGATAAATTCTCCATCCTCAACAGATTTTTTTTTTTAGTAAAATATGACGCTTGAGATCGTGCAAGAAAATCATGTCTCAACAATTCAGGCCATTTTTGTCTTAAATCATTAAGAAAATCTTCTTTTGTCTTCGTTTCTTCAATGATTTCAGTTCTAAAAAATTCAAAATAAATTAACTGAATAAAATAATAATAAAAAATGGATAATCAAAAGAATTAACAATTTAAACATATAAAATCTAATAATTTCATTATTAATATGTAGATTGCGTAACAAAATATAAAGAATTACTCAGTGGCGTAAATATAAAAATTATTTGATGACAATAATTACAAAAATTTTAAAAGAAAAAGAGAAGATTTGAGTGAAAATTGATATTTACCTATCAGTACTTTTCCATTGGCTGTATGTAATTTCATTTATTTTATGGTTATTAAGCAATAGTTCCAATTTGTTTATAATGCTATCACTTCCTGAACACTTAGTACACTTTGAAAAGTAACACAATGATGCAGACTCTTGGCAAACAGAGCTTTTAATTAAATCATTTGAGCTTTCTTAAATAATTGTCCCCTCTTTTTAACACGCTTATATTAGTTTCACTTGTATGTCTGTTTGTAACTAAAAAACTAAACTCAACACGATTACAAAGTATGCGCAAAATGTTTGCATACTTTTTAACACTCTTGTATTAGCTTCATTTCATTTTATTAACCTTGTCAACTTTTAATTTGTTATCTACCTGTTTGCAATGAAAAGTAGGATCTTTTTCTCCGTCATCTTCGATAACATCATTTGACTTCTCAGGCTTGTTGACTTCAGGACATTTATTCACCGATAATTCACCAAGAATTTCAGGTTTTCGGCCTGAATAAATAGTCCGTTCACATGAATTGCACATATAATTCCCAATAAAATCTTTAAAATCATGAGCGCGGTTTTTTGTTATTAAAACTAAGTTTTTAATGACTTTTTTATGATTTTTTTTGGTAAATGGATTGCAGCATTTCTTAACGAGGCTCATGATTAATTATCAACGAAATTATTAATGGCTCGAGATATTCCTTTGTTGTTCACATACTTGTAGATACTGGGACATAAAATATTAAGATGCTTTCATATTTATTTCTTTTAGCCGCAAAGGATTTAGTTCGAATATCATTTTATTTAAAACAAGTATTGTAATGTTAATTGGATTTTTTATAATGAATAGAAAAAAATATGGGGTAAAAAAATTATGGATTTTTAATACTTAAAGAATAGGAAATTCCAGTTAAAAATTTGGTCTTGAAATATTAATAGCGGGTATTCAATACATTCTGGTGGATTAAGGAATTCCCGTCTTAAGTATTTCTTTGAAACTATTAAGCGGGTAGGTATTATGTATATTGTTCTACCACATTCATGCTAATTCACTGCAAGCAAAATGTGAGACCATCATCCCAACATACAAATGAAATATGCAACACACTCTAAGTGTTGCGTTGCCGAACCGCTATGCCGGCAGCGCTGACCGCCCGTCATAAAAATTTTTTTTTGCTTTATCTAATCGCGATCAGTCAAATTTTTTTGCGGATTTCGTTACTTTAATGTTTATGGCAAAATACTAAAAAAAAATTTTTAATTTTTTGAGGGAGAAGTCATTAAAATTTTCATTTCTTAACTTAAAAGTTAATTAACAATTTGAAAAAAAAAATTAAATTATTTATATTCATACATATTTTTTTAAAGTAAAAGTTTTGAACTATAACTCCTGAAAATTTCATTAAAAAATCACCAATAGTTTTCTAGTTATTAATTTTTTAACTAAAAGTAGTAAAAATTTTCAATTAAAAAAAAATTGTTGTTAAAATTAAAATTTAAAAAAACTGAGCGGGGGATTACTTGCTCATGATGACTACTTTATGAAAAAATACTCACATTCAAATTCGATGATCAAGGGGAAAATGGGGGGTCCACTTGACGTGTTTTTACTCAACTGCATTCCTATGTATATAAACACATGTATGCAACCATTTCGAATCAAAAACTAATAACTGTTGCCGAAATGTTCCATGTAAAAATGTAAAAAAAAAATTAAAATAAGATAATCACTTTATATGTGTATATACCTATGTAAATGTGTATCTAAAAAGTATTGCATATGCATATATATGTGAATTGGCACTTATTGGACGTATAACATAGAAATAAAACAAAGCCGTTATATATTTTGTTTTTAGTATTGCATTTGAAAATATAGAGACACGTGTGTATATTCAATCGAAATTCTTACATTCTGCTCAACTTACGGGAACGCCTAATGCTTTAATGTTTTTATGTACCTCAAAAGGGTTTCTTATGCAACTCATTCATTGCTTGCAGCCACAATTACTAAATTACGCTGTTATTATTATTATTTCTTTTTTTCATTACTTCCCAAATATTTAGGGAAAATTCAGTTTATGTTCGGATGGCTCGAAAATGAAAAGAGAGGACTGTCAGTAAGTAAATAATATTATTATACATTCTAAATCTATTTTTAACTTATAAAATAAGAACACGAAAGCGTAAAATACTAGCTATATTTAACCATGAATAATAGTTTCGGCGTATTGTATATTACATATGTATATTAGATTTTGATATTCATTTAAAATTTTGAAGATAATACATGTTCAAAATTTGACTTATTGTGGATAATTATTATTAAATATTGTAGAAATAGTAAAATATGGGCTCGTTGAGGAATTTTTTCTGGCGGAAAACTTGCTTTCAACAAACATCTATAGCCGTCGTTACGAAGGTTCAAAAGTCAGATTTTCGAAATAAATTAGTGTCAACTTCCCCACACGTTTTAAAATTTTCATGTAGAAATTAAAATTGTTAAACAACTTTAATATAAAGGTTAAAAAAAAGTTGTATTAGTCCAATGAATATGTTACTTTGCGCTAAAGGGTGAATTTTGAAATAATTTCTCTTGATGCGAATTTTTCATCAGGCGAGTCACTATATATGTTTTATCACTACGCTGTACTGATGAAACACAATTTCTCTCCTATTGACCAAAGTTGGCCACTTCTGGGCAATTGATTACCTCAAATGGTGCAATTGTTGACAGTAAAGGTGCTAAGTTATAGTTTGACCGTAGGGGAGCAGCTCATAGGAGAGAGCTAATCCCACCAAACACACAACAAACCCTTCATGACCATCAATCCTGGCTTAGCTACCGTGTTTCGACTATGACTGTATTCTCTTGACGTTGTCGTAAGTGACCCACTTTTCAGCAGTGATTCCCTGAGAGAAGTCGGTCCATGAAGTGTTTTGCCAAACGGGTTTTTGTGCCATGTTTAGCTCCTGGGCAATCGAAACAGTGTTTACAATACGGTCATACTCGACGGATTTCCATTATTTTATCAATACTTTCGACAATTGATCTTCCAGAGCGTGGGCACCGGAAATCAATCGATAAAACCTAAACTGCGCATGATTGACTCCTACAATATTAGGACCATAAACACTATTCACATTTTCAGCCGCTGGGTTCGCGTTTTTAGCTCTATCGAAGAAATTTTGGCGGCGTATTTTATCTTTGATGGTGCCCATCTTAGATCTGTACTCAAACAATACTGAGTCAAGCAATCCCAAAACTTTCGCAGAGGTTTTTTTAGCCATATTGCCTAAACCAATCGCTTTTACACAACGGGAGATATAGATTATTAAAGCCATCTATTGGAAAAATAATCGATTTCTTTTTACTAGACCGAATATATATTATTGAATAAATACTCATCTTCTTGTGGAAGTATCTAACAGTTGTTTCTTCATTTAACAACAGCTAATTTATGCCAGAAAAATTGTATTTTTATATATTTTACACCCTCGATTTCGGCTCTCTTCTGTTTTTTTCTGAGTTAAGAAATTAATTGTAACGAAACAAACCTATAGCTGTAATCTTACCTTGAACGACATGAATAAAATTAAAAAATTATATATAATCCAGGGATAGTTGCGCTATAATTTCTATATGTATGCCTTCAAACATAGGAATGTGTTTAATGTTATCAATTTTACTAAATAGTGGCACCTACTTATTTTATGAAGATGGAGATGTACACAAGCCACGGTTAATGGAGCGCGCATGGGATAAAAACAAATTTCACTTTGATGATGTAGCCAAAGCGATGCTCACCTTGTTCACTGTCTCAACTTTTGAGGGATGGCCAGCGTAAGTACTTTTATAGTTTTTGTAGAGATTTTTCACCAGATATACATATGAGTTATTACAATACCGGTATCATACTAAAGTTCTATGGCCGCTTACACATGTTTTTTTAAATAGCTCCCAGTGTTAGAATATGTTATTCAATTAAATTGATAAAGCAATAAATAAATATCGAGAATTGATAGCTAAAACTAGATAAACTTGTGGCGTCAACGTTTTAAGAGAGTGAGTTTGATCAAACTATAAGTTGGGTTTTCGCTTGATACTTAACTATCATAAGGCAATACGCAAAACATTCGTGCCGTTATTTATATATTTTACTTGGCGTAATATTATTATTTCTTTCATTACAGGCTTTTATATGTATCTATTGATTCTAATGAAGTAGACGGTGGACCAATACATAATTTCCGCCCGATTGTTGCCGCTTATTATATAATTTATATAATTGTAATAGCCTTTTTTATGGTTAACATCTTTGTCGGTTTCGTTATCGTAACTTTTCAAAACGAAGGTGAACAAGAATATAAAAACTGTGATTTGGACAAAAATCAAAGAAATTGCATAGAATTTGCGCTTAAAGCAAAACCAGTAAGGCGTTATATACCAAAACATGGCATACAATATAAAGTATGGTGGTTTGTTACGTCATCGTCCTTTGAATACACAATATTTATTTTAATTATGATTAATACTGTGACTCTTGCAATGAAATACCATAATCAACCACCGTGGTACACTGAGCTCTTAGATGCTCTAAATATGATTTTTACTGCCGTATTTGCGCTAGAATTCGTGTTCAAGTTGGCGGCTTTCCGTTTCAAGGTAAGTAAAATCTTAACACACGTTAAGGAATACATACAGAATAATGAAATATTAGAGCGCCTTTTTTAATTACTAAAACCTGAAATGTATTGAAACTAATAGGTTTACAAGTTATAACGCCTTAGCTTTTTATTATAGTTAAGAGTTTTACAGATGTGTACAGGAATTTTATTTGGAAATATACATGTATCACATCCCAACTTAGTTAAAAATTGTTCAAACAGTTTTTAATGAACAATTAATGCAGTTCCCATGCAAGCTGTGAAGGGTACATATCTCACAAAGTACGAAAGCAATATCAACTAAGTCTAGTGGGAACTTTTCTCCCTAGCATTCCATTCCATTTGACAAACTACGGCTTCTTCCCATTTCACACTTTATTATCTTATCATATCAGTTAAATTTAAAATATTTAAATGAAACATTTATGATGATATCAGAATGAAATAGAGTTTTCAAGATTTGGCACACAGTTCTTATGACTGACTATATACCGAATATACCAATCACTCTGTAAAAAATCGTAAGGAAATTAATTGGACATAAGTTCTTGATAATAGTGTGCTCTTGTGACAAATATGGTTAAAATCGATTCAGTATGTACTATTTGTGAGCAATTTGCTATAGCATTATAGTAAGTTATAAGTTGTATAATGTTCGGCTGCACACGAACTGAACCCCTCTCTTTGTTGTTTTATATTTTTAACAGAGAATTATTTTGCTAGCTTGGGCACAATTTCCTCTAAAATACTACAGTTTTAAAACTAGGACGAAGCCTTTGGTTATGAGTTGCTACCAATTGCTTTTAATTTTACACCAGAATAACTGTACATACTTTAGACATAGTATACATATTATAGTTTGTGTGCTTGGAAATTTAATGATACTCAGGCAACACAAACTGAATAGGTCCAAATAGTTCTTTTTATTTTGTCATAGGTCGGTAATAACAATTTTGTTGTAATACTTTCATATTTCAAAGTATTTATATTTATTATTTCAAATTTACTTTTAGAATTACTTTGGAGATGCTTGGAATGTTTTTGATTTCATAATAGTGTTGGGTAGTTTTATTGACATTGTTTATTCCGAAATAAAGGTAAGATAGAACTGTAATTATAAACTATTTTACAAATTATTTGATATATAGTTAGCTATCAAATTTTCAAAAAGAACAACCAAGTACCTTTATGAATAATTCCAATAAATGTATTAATTTTCCATAAAATTTCTATTGGATGTGCTCTTTAATGATTATCGTTAGACATAAGTTCTTATAGAGATACTGATATCTCCAATCAATTTGATAAAGAATTAAGGATGGGGATTCTTAATAGCAAACCCGTATGCGGTTATGTTATTAAATGTGTTTTGTTAATAATTGGCAAAAATCAAGTGCAAGTTTTATATGCAATTTAGTACGTACATATTACATTATACTCGTTTCAGCTTTGTGCTACATAATACAGCACGTTTTTATATGAGTACATTCATTAGCATTTTGCTTTTTATACTCTCGCAACCTGTTGTTGCAGATTATAATAGTTTTGTTCACCTAACGGTTCTTTGTGCCACCTAAAACTAATCGAGTTAGATATAGAGTTATACCTATATAAATGATCATAATGAAGAGACGAGTTGAAATTCGGGTAAGTGTCTGTCCGTCCGTCCGTCCGTGCAAGCTGTAACTTGAGTAAAAATTGAGATATCTTTATGAAACTTGGTACACATGTTTCTTGGTACCGTAAGACGGTTGGTATTGCAGATGGGCGTAATCGGACCACTGTCACGACCACAAAACGCCATTAATCAAAAACAAATAAATTGCCATAACTAAGCTCTACAATAAGATACCAGACTGTTATGTGGTATACGGGATCCCATTAGGGAGGGGAATCTGCATTTTATATTTTTTTTTAAGTAGGCGCGGTCCCGCCCCCTTATAAGTTTAATGTACATATCGCCTAAACCGCTAAAGCTATTATAACAAAATTCACTGCGAACAAATGTTTTTAGCACCTCTATCAGTGTTAAAATGGTTGAAATGGGGTGACATCGCCACTCCCCATATAACGGCACAGTTAAAAACTACTAAAAGCGCAAAAAATCAAGCACTAAACATGCCAGAGACATTAATTTAACTCTGGGATGGTATGAGATGACGTTGTAGGAACCACGTTCAAAATTAGACAGTGGGCGTGGCACCGCCCACTTTTAGGTGAAAACCCATATCTTGGGATCTGCTTAACCGATTTCAGTCAAACTCGGTAGCTAACATTCCTGCCATATTTATATGTTATAGCGCGAAAATCATCGAAATCGGAATACAACCACGCCTATTTCCCATATAACACCATTTAAATTCCATCTGATTCTTTCACCTTCCACTATGCAAATCAAGCAACAATAACTGTATCGGGGTAAAACTTTGCGTGAATAATGCGTTTAAAGTGTGCGACCTTGTGACCAAAAATTCTCTAAATCGGACCAAAACTGTTCAAGCCCCTAGGTACTGAATATGTTGACTTTTTACCGAAAATATCGGTCAATGTTTAAGATATATAATTGAAATTCCTATGATAAAATAAATAAACGAAGCTATTTATAATAGTATGTTTTGTCTCTAAAACGGGTTTAAATCGGATCTATAGTTCCTTTAATATAAAAATTTGCCAACACCTGAAGTAATTTCTCGGCTTTGATCCTTGCAAGTTGCGAGAGTATAAAATGTTCGTTTACTCCTGAACTTAGAACTTCCTTACTTGTTTCTAATAAACTTATTCGATAAACTCTTTAATAATATGAAATTATTATTTTGTTTATAAAATTAGATGGGTTGAACTTATCTCTAGGTTAGTGTATTTTTTTTAATTTAAGATATAATTCTTCAATGTTTCTTTGTTTTAAGAATAAGGATACTTCATCTCTGCCTTGTGACATCGTGGAGGGATGCAAAGCTAAGACCAAGGTTTGCACTTAAATTTCGTACTTATTAATAGCCAAAGCCTCAATTTTTTAAAGATGCCGCTTTGGTTGTTTTGTTTTACAGACGGGGTCAAATTTAATATCGATAAACTTTTTCCGTTTATTCCGCGTTATGCGATTGGTTAAATTATTGAGCAAAGGTGAAGGAATTCGGACACTGCTGTGGACATTTATCAAATCTTTCCAAGCTCTTCCTTATGTAGCCTTGCTAATAATTATGTTGTTTTTTATTTATGCGGTTATCGGAATGCAGGCATGTAAAATATCGAAAACATAACGATTAACATAAATAAAAAATAAGTGTATACTTTAGGTTTTCGGAAAAATCAATCTGAGTGACGAGACCGCCATACACCGGAATAATAACTTCCAAACATTTCCACAGGCAGTACTAGTCCTTTTTCGTTCTGCAACGGGGGAAGGCTGGCAAGAAATAATGATGTCTTGCTCGACCGACGAAGATGTACGTTGCGATCCGAAATCCGATATGACCAAAGATTGTGGATCAAATATTGCATTTCCTTACTTCATATCTTTCTACGTTCTTTGCTCGTTCCTTGTAAGTTACAAATATTCAAAATAGTTTGATCATGTGATTTCATAACTGTTTTAGATTATCAATTTGTTTGTTGCTGTTATTATGGACAACTTTGATTATCTGACTCGTGATTGGTCGATCCTTGGACCTCATCATCTGGATGAATTCATCCGCCTTTGGAGTGAATACGATCCGGATGCTAAAGGTCGCATAAAGCATTTGGACGTGGTTACGCTCCTACGTAAAATATCACCTCCATTAGGATTTGGTAAACTATGTCCACATCGAATGGCATGCAAAAGACTTGTTTCTATGAATATGCCGCTAAACTCTGATGGCACTGTTCTTTTCAATGCAACCCTGTTTGCAGTTGTAAGAACATCACTAAGCATAAAAACTGATGGAAATATTGACGAGGCTAATGCAGAATTGCGTGCAACAATAAAACAAATTTGGAAACGTACCAGCCCTAAACTTTTGGATCAGGTAGTACCTCCACCAGGAAATGATGATGAGGTTACCGTTGGGAAATTCTATGCCACATATTTGATTCAGGATTACTTCAGACGCTTTAAAAAACGAAAGGAACAAGAAGGTAAAGAAGGACAGTCTGAAAATGCGACTTTAACACTACAAGCGGGATTGCGAACTTTACATGAAGTATCACCAGCATTGAAACGGGCAATTTCCGGAAACTTAGACGAGTTATCTGAGGAACCTGAGCCGATGCACAGGGTAAATATGCATTTTTATACCCTGAACAGGGTATATTAAGTTTGCCACGAAGTTTGTAACACCCAGAAGGAAACGTCGGAGACCCTATAAAATATATATATAAATGATCAGCATGATGAGCTGAGTTGATTTAGCCATGTCCGTCTGTCTGTCTGTCCGTCTGTCTGTATATATACAAACTAGTCCCTCAGTTTTTATGCCATTGATCTGAAATTTTGCACCTGTCCTTTTCTCATAAAGAAGCTGCTCATTTGTCGGAACGCTGCCATACAAACTGAACAATCGGAATCAAGTGTTTGTATGGGAAACACTTTCATCTGTCGAGGTATCTTCACGAAATTTGGCACGGATTATTATTTAAGGCAACAATTTAATCTCCGAAAAAATTATTCAGATCGGGTGACTATAGCATATAGCTGCCATACAAACTGAACAATCGGAATGAAGTGCTTGTATGGAAAACTCTTTCATTTGACGAGGTATCTTCACGAAATTTGGCACGTATCATTATTTAAGGCATTAATCCAATCGCCGAAGAAACTGTATAGATCGGATGACTATGACATGCAGCTGCCATATTAACTGAACGATCGGAGTAAAGTGCTTGCATGGAAAATTTTTTTATTTGACGAGGTATCTTCACGAAATTAGACACGAGTTCTTGCTTATGGCAACAAATTATTCTCCGCAGAAATTGGTCAGATCAGATCACTATATCATATAGCTGCCATACAAATTGAACGTTCGGAATCAAGTTCATGTAAGGGGCCTTTGGGGCCGAAGTTAACGTTTTTTCTTGTTTTATATGCATACAGTAGGTTTGGTCAGTATTTTTACGAAAAAAAAACTCAGTTGTTTAGTAGAAATACTATACAAGAGAATTAAACAATTTCATTAAGATTAACACAATTGAAGATATAATGAGTTTTAAGTTCGTGAATTCTGATTTAAAATGCTAAAAAACAAGCAAATAAAACTACATTAGACCTACATTATTTGGTCGAAAGCCAGATATGATATAAATAGACCATATTGGTAGGTGCATGTAATACTAAAATATACCAAAAATTGGTTCCTGCAACTTGCACACAAAAATGTACCGCAGGAAAAATTCATATATTTTATTAAAGTTTTATATGTTCTTTTTCTACATTAGAGGCATCATACGTTGTTTGGTACAGTATGGTCATCTTTTCGACGACATGGTAACAGCTTTAGGCATAATCGGAAAAATCAAAAATCACAGTTAAATGGAGATATTGGTGGTACCGAATCAACGCCTAGTGCTGCTGATTCCTTCAATTTGAATCCGATGTACGACGCCAATCGCTGCAATGTATCTGACAGCATAAATCATATTACAAAAAGTCTGATGCAAGCAAGATTTGGTTCCCAACCGACTGAGGGCGGTGGCAGTAATACCACTGAATACCATGACTTTAATTCTCCTGGTGATATTCGTACATTTAGTGAGAGCATATCCATGCGCCCACTTGTCATGAGTAGCGGGAACGATGGAAACAACTTGCTAACACTTACTTCCGGGCGTATAACAAATCAGGAAAGTCCTTTTGCGGCAACAGAATCTTATGAGTGAGTACTACCAAAATATATAGTTATTAAACGAATGTTATATGTTCCGGTAAATTTGCAGTAGTATTTATTTATTATATTTTAGAAAAAAAAATATGTTTAACAATGTTAAGAAGCCACTGTTTTACGTAACACGCGCCCGTGTTTGGATTAGTAGATGACTAAATGTTAAAATAAATCATTCACTTTTGGAGGATTTATTCAAGTTTTATTTTTTTCCTTTCTTCCATGTCTAGGGCCATGAAATATAATATTTTTATTATCATTACACAAAAATAGAAAGACAATGAATTTTAATTAGTTGTATATTTGAATCAAACCTTTTTGATTTCGAGTAGTAATTCGAGCAATTCTGGTGAATATACCTTTAATTTGTATATGTTATGGAGTTTCTGTACTATTGCACTCGTATGGTACATTTCAAGTTCACTTAAATACATTTGTTTTTTGAGTATAGTGACCATCAATACTTCAAAAAAAATAATAATAATATAGCCTGCGCAGCAAAACATTCGTATTAGTTCCGTGATGTTAGGATAGCAAGTTCAACCTTTGTTACACATAGGATAGTGTTCTTAACAAATTAACAGTTGTGGATAATATTTAATGTCTGTACGAGTAAATCAGGTATAACGAGTATATGAAACATGCTGATTTTGAATTCTGTAGAGATATTTTTTATTATTTAATTTTTCATATGTTTGTTTACAATTGTACCGGAATTCCATTTCAGCAGCTCCACTCCCGGGTTTTCATTGCACCCTTACAATAATGGTAAGACAATATGGAAGACAATCCTTAGGTTAAAATCGTTTATTATTTTGTGTATTGGTTTTATGAGTCCTTTTTGCTTTCTAATGAAGTTTGACTATTAAAATTTCATTATTTTTTACGTAGCTCTTAATTTTTAATGAAGTTACACTGCATCTAATCCACGATTCTACTAATATTTATTGTGGTCTTTCCAATTATTGACCATTGGTTATAATATAAAAAAAATACTAATTTGGTTTACCCATAGTTCTTATTCCGCTAGTAATTTCCGCTTTTGAATGATTCTAAATGAAGCTTGGACAGTTGAACATTTTTGCTCAAGCTTTTATATGTTGGCAAATTGTGATCCAAAGAGCAGCCCTGTAGACGTTGCAAAATTTCGAGAACATCCCTCTTCTTTCAAGATATCCTTGCATTATATATACTTGTTACATTTTTAGACGATACAATAACTCCAATAATACTAATACTATTGAGTGTTCATAAAACTGGCACTGTCGGGTAGTGAGCTAAGAAGTCACGTTGTGTCACCTGATCATTAATTAACCATTATTAAATAACGAATTATATTCATATCGCCTGGACAAGTACATCATTTTTAGAGCAGGGTATTCTTTTTCAGATTTGCATGCATCTTCTTTCATTATTACAATCCATTAAGATTTTTCATATTTGGAAGCTTGTATAAAAACTAATGTTTTTATTTTAAATCAGTCATACCTCACTATTCACTAGTAAGCTATATTCTAAACACCTAGTTCGGAATTGCTTGCTGATTAGGTATTTTATATATAAAAACAATCTTACTGCTAGCAGGTAATGCATTGAATATTTCCTAGCTGTCATTATTTATTGCATCATTCTGTCGAATATACATACATATATATATATTACTAGCTGACCCGACAGACTTCGTCCTGTCAAAAAGATTTGTAATTTGGCATTTTTTTCGCCTACGTATTTTAAAAAATTCTCCTGAACAGAACCGTCACCCTGGTGATAGGGCGTTGTGAATAAAAAATAATTAAATAAAACATATATAAGGATTTAAAAATAAGTAATCGCTTTATTGTTAATCATGTGAATCATAATTATTATTATTATCATTGTAGTGCCTTGTGGTATACGATGTCTTTTGTTTGATTACCTGGCGCATAGATAAACAAATCTGATGGTTTTCCAACACGGGAACAGGCAACATACAATTGACCATGTGAGAAACATGGGTTTTCTAGATTAATACCACAAACACTTAATGATTGCCCCTGGGACTTGTTTATAGTCATAGCAAAAGCAAGCCGCACTGGAAACTGTAGTCGTTTAAACTCAAATGGCACATCAGTCGGAATCATTGGGATGCGCGGTATAAGAACATCTTCTCCTTTATACTTTCCTTTGAGTATAGTTGCTTCTATCACATTGTTTAGTAATTTTTTTATCGCTAACCGTGTACCGTTGCAAAGACGCGGTTGGTTGATATTTCGCAACATTATAACCACCGATCCAACCTTTAATTGAAGATTGTGAGGTGGCAATCCTGGCAAATCCAGCGAGTTTAAAAATTCCGGTGGATAGTTGACTACATCATCTTGATTAGTAGCCGAATCAACTGATTTATATATCCTCAATTCGCCTGTAATTTGTTCTTAAATTTTGAAATTTAATTCATTTACATCTATGTTTTTTGCAGCCAGTATAGCTCGTTCGCTCAACCAATCATGGTTTCTGTAATTTTGAGAAACATCTGGAAACACCTTCTGAATAAGTTCATCTTTTGATCGAGTTAACTGACAAAAACTTTGAGGAAAGTTAATGCAGCCAGTCAACATGTCTATAGGAAATTTGCCATTACCAATGTCAATGAGTTGTTTAGAGAATATGTTTCCAGATTGGTCATTTTGCAATTCGACACGCATATTCTTACTTAAATGAAGTACTTTGACATGTTTCCACAAATTGGAGGACTTTAGACATGCATTGAGTTCATCAGCTGGCGTTGATCGTGGAATCACTGGCAATGTTTGACGAAAATCTCCTGCTAATAAAATCATTGCACCACCAAATTGGTTATTATTGCTCCGTAGATCTTTTAAGGTTCTGTCTAAAGCCTCCAAAGATTTTTTATGTGCCATCGTGCATTCATCCCAAACAATCAATTTACATTGCTGCAAAACCTTTGCCATTGCAGAGTTCTTCGAAACGTTGCAGGTTGGAGTTTCATTGCTTTGCATATTTAATGGCAATTTTAGTGCTGAATGGGCTGTTAGACCACCTTCAAGCAAAGTTGCTGCGATTCCCGACGAAGCGAGTGCAAGTGCAATTTTATTTTGTGAGCGAATTGTTGCTAATATTAATGAAATCAAAAAAGTTTTTCCTGTACCACCAGGTGCATCTAAGAAGTAAATGCCTCCAGTTTCATCATTTGTTACTTTCATAAGAGTTTCAAATACATACTTCTGTTGTTCATTTAACAGTGGAAGATTTGTTTGAATTAATTCTTTCAAAGAGTTGAGATCATACAGTTTTTCTCGATGCAGCTCTTGGTTAAAAGCGTCATGCATTGGACGATTGGGCGCGGTCAGGCCTAATTGAATTAATAGTTTGTTTGACATTATCAAGCACATGTCCTCAATTGAAATCAATACTTCATTGTAAATTTCTTCACTGATTTGTATATTTGGATTTCCCATTCTATTCCGTATTTGATACAAAATATCATCACACATATAATCTTTGTACTTGATCCACAAATCAATTGGGTTTGATGGGAAGCATGTAGATATGATTATAGAAAACAATGTTCGTATTTGGTGAGCGTGTGATGATATTACAGCATCATTGAGAGTTTGATCCCAATGAGCGTCATTTTCAAGCAATTGCAAACGTTGACAGGCTTCTCTGTAGGATCCACACAATTCACCATCAACAGTTCGTAACTGTTGGAATGATGTTGGGCCACGTACATTGACTAATAGCAGTCGTAAGTAAAAACATTCATCATTGCTTGGATGTACTGAATAAATCCGGCCAATCGCATCGGTGGAATATACATCTGTATATCCTGGAACTGGTTTTCCTTGTTTCCGTCGTATAAATCTCCTTGAGGATTGATTCCAGGTATAATATTTTGGCATTTCAGAATATAGCAATGTTTGTGCGAAATAATCGTTTTGGCATGTCTCAAAAAAACTGGTTAATGTAGTAGATGGTGGCTGAGCAGCTCTTTGTACTGCGTTCTGTGCTGTAAAATACACTCTTTGTCCATTTTCTAAATGCACAGCTAAGTGAACAACAGAAGGGTGTCTCTCATGAATAGGAAATGAAAATATTCGCCAAACTGCTTCACTACTACTGACGTAGCGGCCCATTTGGTATTGGGTAACTTCATCATTGGAATTCTCTGCACCAATTCCAATCACAGCCATATCACTCCCTTTGGTTACATATTTGCAAATGTATTTAATAGATTTCACTGAATGGCAAGATTCAACGTTGATGTGTGCTTTGAATGTCTTTGATAAAATGGGTGAATATGGAACAATCCAACGATTATCTATTTCAATATCTTGTTGATTTAATTTGACAATTGTTGATTTTCCATTGTCTGCTGTCGATCTGCGACGATACAATGGATAACCGTCATTACCAGTAATTGTTTCCGATATTAATGTCCGTGGATATCGTTTTGAACATTTACCATCCATCATACACGGTGAATTTTGATTAAGAGTTCCACAGGGACCATGTATCATGTTTTTGATAACTACCTCATGCAATCCAGGATCTACTTGTACATTAGGGATTTCAGCTGATATCACTGCATCAACTTCATTTGGCCTTATCTTTTCAACCAACCAAATCAAAATGTGTGCATGTGGCAATCCTCGTTTCTGCCACTCCACAGAATACATCCAGCAGCGTGTCTCACCAAACACATTATGTTTTACGATGAAATCCATTAAAGATTTCAACTTTTGTCTAAAGACTCTGGCTGTAATATCATGACGATCAATGGGTGATTGCCCAGGGAATAACTCCTGCTTGATTTCTATCCATTGTGGATTGCATGTAAATGTGATGAACAAATCTGCTGTACCATAATGACGAACATACGACATGGCATCTTGAGCATATTCGTGCATATGCCGAGGGCTTCCGATGTATGTTGCTGGAAGAATAGTCATCCGACCGACATTCTGTGCATTTCCATCAGTATTAATCGCATCTCGAAGGTGAACATACTCTTCAGATCGGAGTTTAGTTTGATTCAACCTGATGAATGTTAATCTCTCCGTTTCAATTTTAACATACATATCAACAACATATTTGTGATATAATCGCCGACATTTCAATATGTGATTATCTTCATTTTCCCGAATCATTAGGCGGTATGAATAATAGTTCATTGAACTGACTTTTTTGTTGGTTTCAGAACCTGTAAATAGATTTTATTTTAATAACATTCAAAATACATAATATAATGACTGAGATATTTTAGTTACCTGTAATGGGATTTATCATTTTTATTGAGAAATCGTAGCCATCTTCACCTTGCCATAATATAATGGGATATTGCAGTGCATCATATGAGCGGTGTGTTTCCTTTATACGTTGTAATTGATCATTCCGACGATGTAAAACAATATCACGGGATTCCAAGTTTTCTCCAACTACAACGATAGCAACTTCATCAATAGTTGGTGCATTAAAACGTCTTGTATGTTGACCTGCAGGTGTTTTATCAGCTCTGATTACAATTTTGTGATTATCGGATGGCATCAGATCCAAGGCAGTTTTAAACAATATAATCAATTGATTGTGTTGATGAAATAAAGTTTGTAATTGTTCTACAATAGACCTCTTTACTAAATTGTTATGTGCACAACGCAGATCAATTTCTTGTGGTGAATTGCCCATAAAATAAATTTGCAGGAATTTGTTGTCGTTATCTGACACTGGTAACAGTGAACCTGCTCTGTGATATATTTGCCCTTGTATCTGTAAATAAAAAAAAAATATTATGGTGTGGTATAAATTAATGGATTGGATGTATATATTTAGTTTTAACTAATATCTATTAAATATAAAATATAATAAAAGTGTCACTGAAACTAAATCCCCATATAATATGATGACTAAGTGATATATAAGTGATTAAGAAATTGAAGATTAGTGACACATCTTAACTTTGGTGCCAAAAAATTTTGTTCGCTAAAATAATTATGAGTAACTGCTATAATACATACCTTGAAAGTTGGCATAAAATTTTCCCGAACTACATTTGTTGCCCCAAATGAAGTCATTTGAAAGCAATTGTTATATTGTTGGATATGTGTCAAAAAGTGTATAGAATCTGTTCCTATTCCTGAAACCAATGAGTACAATGGTTCTGGTGGTGGATCCAATGGTATCAATTTCACTTTACCATTTGCGCAACACAATCCATTGGCTTCGTTTTTGTATTTTAATGCCTTACAGTGTGAGCAAACCGAGTTCATAGAACCAATAACAACACATTGGTAGTTACTGTAGTCAATTGACACATCGTAACTGAAAGCAGCTCGATTCAAACTTGCGCGATTATTAGTTGAATGTCGCGCTCGCGCTTCACGCGTTTGTGATATCCGAATTCTTTCACGTTCATTTCCGTCGTCACGTTCTTGTGCAGTACGATTAGATCGGTAATTAGCTTGGTTTGTAGCATTTCTGGTTCTTCTACCTAAATTGCTTCGTCTTATAGGAGGCATATCAAATATAAATTATTTTTTCACTAATCACGAACTAAACAAACACTAACTAAGTAAACACTCTGCACAAAAAACTATATACGAATTTGTTTCGTGTATCAGTCGTCAAAAGCAAACTCAGTAGATTAGGTAACAGACAACTTTTTTCTTTTTAAATTTTATATTACTTGAAGTCAAATCCTTTTAAGCCGTACTTAAAATTTGGATATTAAAAATAATAAAACACTGTTGGTCCGCGAGTTTCGGAACGCCACATTAAACTCCTCCAACTATATATTCTGAGCTCCAACGCACACACGCACATTGTTTTGATAGATATGATCTTTGACGTTAGGAACACACCTACATTGCTTAGACAACAGTGAGTGCTTGTAATTTAATATGAACTTTATACCATAGCAATAAAGCTCAAATTGACTACGTTTTAGTTACAAATCATTTGTATGGGAGAAAAGGGCTATTTTTAGGGTTTTTCCAGCAATAATTCTAATTTTTATCGCCGTAAAAACCATCCTTGAACTTCAACGAAAATTTAAAAAAAAGATTTAGCTAAATTGGTCCAGGCGTTGTTGAGTTATGCGCTTACCAACACATTTTGCGATTCATTTTTATATTATAGATGATATTTCTCTTCTTGAGCGATTTAGTTATGCTGTATAGAATATTGCAGCAGATTAATGAAATGGCACCATAAAGATTCGTCAGGACAGTATCTTATGAGTTTATATTGCTTTTAGTTTAGAATGTAATATGTATTTTGTCTAGTACTTCCTCATATTCACTTAACTCAATTACTACGATAGGATGTATTGTATCTGAACGGTTTAAACTGCTTCTAATTCCAAGTGTTAGTGCTATTCAAAATAGTTGGTCGTTTAACTACAGCATATATGTATGTATAATGTTAGATATATCCTTCACGGTAATATTGTTTTAAATTTGCAAAGTAATGAGGGATGTCGAGGATTCATAATGAATTATTGTAGGATGGGGTTGATGGCACTATTTTCGCCCAATTAAACTTTTTTATAACATCACAGAAGTTTTGCGTACAAAACGATAGTATTTTTTTCATTTTGTTCTGTATATAGACAAAAGTCAAGTAAAGTTATTTAAAATTTCATAAATTCGATATAATTTTATACTCGATTCTCAATGATCTCATAAGAAAGTACAAACAAATTTATAAAACGCAAAATTTTTTCTTTTCCTAGTTCCAATGGTTTGAGTCAAAGGACCTCGTATTGCTGAAACATCGTATTGGAAACATTTTTACAAGCGTATATATTTATATATACACATTAATTTATATATAATTTATTAATTTATATGCTTTTATATACAAACAGGAAAAAATGTCGCATTCCCATCGTATATGCATTCGAAATATTGTACTTATATACCTATATACATACATAAAATCAAAAATCACAAGTTTCCAAAAATTAATTTCCGATAAAAAGGACGAATTAAATTTGAAAACGAAATGCTATTTCAAATGCGATTAAGTTAGGTTACTAACGCAAAGGGTACCAACATTTTTATAAGTATTCCAGTGTGTTTGCCAATAATTCCATCCGATCTTGCAGTAATAACACTGGTGATAGCGTCGCTACTCTCTCAACATTAACAAGTATGGAAGTTCGTCCTACACATTTCAACAGGTTCAAATTACATTTTATTACTAAAAACATGACATATCTTTTTCAGTTCAGTTCAGTTTCAGCAGTTTCCCACAACATTTCTTCCGGAACAAAATTTTGTACATAACAAAACTTATGTGGATTGAAAATGTTTGTTCTTATATGTATTTTAGGAATTCGCGTTTACATGGTACTAACTATTTATTCGTGTGACTATGACTACGTATATAACATCGATAAATGCACAAAACTTCAAACCAAGAGGTGGAGTCCTTTGTCCTAACTTTCATTGCCTCATAAATCTAATTATTGTAATAAAACAAATTCCAATTTATAATTTCAATATTAATTTTAATACATGCATGTGCTCGTTCGAAAGTATATTCATTTGATTAGAATATTTTATATAATTATAACCTAATATTTTCCATCGAAATGTCCTTAATTGAGAATTTGTATTTTATATTAATTCAGACTTTTAATTCACAATCATAAGTATATTTACTCATTTTTTATAAACTTTCACTGGGGGTTACTAATTTTATAGATTTATTTATTAAAGACCTTTTGTTGAAAACTCCAATTGTGATACCTTAATTTTTGAAATGTGATATTTTAATTTTTCATTGGCCATCCATCGATGGTGTTAGTAACAGACATGCCCTAATAGAATTTTAAATCATAGAATTTAAATCATGTTCAATTCCTCATAGTAGTAGTAAAGTATATAAATAAAATAAAATAATAAGTTTCACTTGTTTCCCCTGTAAAATAGATACTTTGGAAGTTTTTGTGTCGATTTTTTCGTTTTGCTTATTAAAATCTTCTTCAACAGTGAAACTTGTTTCCCCTGTAAAATAGATACTTTCAAGGCCATTGCATCTATTGAACCTAATTTACTTCAAGCGCCTTGCCAAAATATGACCAGTTGACCAAAGAAGGCTTTCATTCGGAGATCATATCGAATATGTCTTTACATTGATCTGGTCGATATATCCATTTACCTTCACATAATTTTTAGATTTGTTAGGGGATTTCTGTGAATGCGTTCGCGATCAGTTTTATGCTAAATTGTTTCAAAAAACGCGAGGACGACCACTTCCCTTTCTGTCATCAATTGTAGACGTTTGGGAAACGATCAATAGAGCGAAAAAAAACACATTATCGAAATGTTGGTGATGGTATGATAGGAACCTAATGAAACTCAGAGAGCATCTTTTTCTGTTAGTAATATGTGGTAAAGCCAAAAATAGATAAAATCAGTCCAATACTGTCACTATCTCCCATATACCTGCAATAATATAAGATACGGTATAGGATTCAAACTTCCGGTTGGCTTTGTACCGTATATATCCATCAGTTTATAAGATATCTTAGCAATTTAGTAAGTCTATGATCTATTATATAAGTTAATAAGATGTAAATAAGATTGTAATAAATCTTAGTTTCGATGGACATTGATTATTGAATTTTCATGCAATATTTTTGATCTCTGAAAATTTGCAGAGTATAAAATATTCGGTTACAACCGATCTTAGTGCTTCCTTACTTGTTAAACCTATGAACGTCATTACTTTTGATTATCTGCTTTATTCAGTTAAAAATATTTTGCCTTAGGGCTTAACTATAAATACGATGTGTACGAAAGATGTTTGAAAAGTAAAAACTGAAGAAGTGTATTGAATTTCAATTGTCATATTTTGGTAAAGTAAAAGCTAATCTTATAAATATTTATAAATGTGATATAATGATTAATTAATTTCTTTTCCCCATTCATCTTGATTTCCAAGGTCATATCTGAAAAAATTTGTCGTATATATTTGCACAAGAACTATTAGATATTAATTTTTATTTGGTTTTAATTGCAAGACAAATGTATATATTATATTGTCGTACTGAAGATTATATCGTTGGTGGTTGACTGTAGCCTTACGCGTTATCGTGGATAAAATTCTTTCCAATTTTATTATTGTAAGTTTACAGATCTCTTTATTGAGAAAGAGTAGTTTATATTATAATGTTTTTAAGAGCATTGATCGTTTGTAACTCATCGACAGGGTCAAATGGTGCCAACACTGCGGGAGATTATCATGCCTGGGTTAGGTTGGTTTAGATTAAGAGGTCGCTTCTAACAGGGATCCTGCTTGGACAGCTTGGAACGTTGTGGTACTTTAAAACTCTTATACACTGCATCATGAGACCCTTACAAATCGACGAAGCGCTTTGAGCCTATCACAAAATTTGTTGAGACGGCTAATGTCAGTTTTGACTAAGTCTTCTGGTTTGTCGAAGGTAAGACTACAAGACTACCGAGTTGTTGGAGCCTCAGTCGTGCAAAGGCTGGAAAATGGAGGAGAAAGTGCCTAGATGTTTCCACCTCACCCACCTACAAACAACTCTGACCACCAGCGTCCGACAAGATTTTTAGCCTTACCGCATAAATTCGTATTGGACAGTGTCCAGTGAGAACTCCTACAATTGCGGCAAGATCAACTTTAGATTCAGTAGATCTTCTGTGTTCTGCTTTAGGCTAAAAGCTCATCGGTTTTGCAGTTGCCAGCAATTCCGCTGAGACCAGGCACCCAAACGAGTGTGATGATGAAGTTGATGATATTTCTAGTGAGGGCAGACACTCCTTGACTAGCTTTGAGCCACAGTTACCGAGCTCAGCACTTGTATTGCCACTCTGTTGCCGGAGTGAACGCTCACCTCCCTAAGGAGCTGCAGTACGTCTACCGCCACCTTGACAGCAGCATAAGCATACCTAAATAACGATGTAAAATAAACATATGCATATGTACTTGTACTTCACGAAACGAAATCTTGCCACTTTCTTTTGCATTTTTACGATTTAGATATGCTTCAATTTGCATTTTGGTGCATTATTAGTGATGCAATAATAAACTACAGATTAAACTAATCTCGGCAAACGACTACAAATATCATTTATTAGCGTCCCTTATTATCCCTGCGCCTTGGCTAAGCTGTTTGCATTAGCATTGAATATTATGCGATTTGCTTGATACTTCATTGTTGTATGTATGCATTTTTTTACATTATTTCTGAAGTTTATAAAATTATAAACGACGCATCGTATAACTTGTGAAACCCTAATTGTTTTGTGCGTCTTAATTACATATCATATACCTTGTACCTATTCATAAGTTTGGAATTTTGATTATTATTAGTAGAGAAGGAGCGATAAAAGTTCATAAGAATGGTTATGTACTAATATTGTTATGATCAACTCGCAATATGGATATATGTTTGTAGCTTGCCAGTTGCTATTCGAGTTTAGTTCAACACTAATCCTATAAATTGTATCTACATATATATAAATATATACATTTTTAAAATATAAGTTTTTCTAATGATAACTTTATAATCTTTTTAAATAAATTTCAGCAAATGGTATTCGTGGCCACGATCGTGCGATGCCAACAAAAATAGGTAGCCTTTATGATCCCCATCCTTCAGCAACTTTATCTAAAGTCAATGGTCCTGCAGAAAGTCTCGTTGGCGGGGTATGTAATGACATGTTTATTATGGTATGTGTACATAACTATATATTAGAATTGTTGATCCACGCAACTTGGTTGATACTACGTATGATAAAAGTTGGGATGGTTTTATAATTTCGTTTAGAATATTTTTTCAAGAAAATTTTCAAAAATTAAATATATATACTAAATAAAAACAAATGATTTGTTCTCAAATATGTCTCAGATTAAATGAATTTCAAATTCTGTTTAAATTCAGCATTGCAATAAAAGAACAGTTTTTCGTATTATACAAGGTGCGTTCCAAGGTAAACAGGACTTTTAAAAAAAAGACAGAACAAATGGTTTTATCGGCAAAATCAATTAATTTTATTCAAAATACTTAATAACTTCTATCTTCGCGATATTCGGGCCGAACACGTTAAATACGGCACACCAAAGGCTTCAAAACTCCAAGGTAGAATACCGCATTAACGTTTTGGCCGGGTGGAACAAATTCTTTGTGGACAATACGCTTGGAATCATAAAAACAAATCAGCATTGTCTTCACTTTTGACTTCTCCAGGCGCGATTTTTTGGGTTTCGGCTCATTTCTCATTTATGTCCTCGCGACCACTTTAAATGTTGAAAGCACTCGCGCACTCTGCTACGGGATAGGCAATCATCGCCATAAACTTGTTTCATCAATTGAAACGTTTCGACAAAAATTTTACCAATTTTAAAACAAAATTTAATGTTGGCTCTTTGTTCGAAGCTCATTTTCGCTCCGATGACAAAAACATACTGCCACTTAAAACGCAATAACTTCACTCCCAATTGATTAAATGTCATGAAATTTTTACTGGAAGTCGATAAAGGAAAGCAGATTCTAACGCACTAGTCGACATATAGATGGCGCCACTAGAGTTTACTTTGTTACTTTTTTACTGTTTACTTTGGACCGCACCTTGTAATATTAGAGAAGTTCGCGTGATTTATATTTGGTACTAATTAAATTGAGTTGGTTTAAGCCATATAAAAGCATCATATGTATACATATATTATATTACATTCATGCAGGTACTAGTTGCAGAAGGTCTAGGAAAATATTGCGACTCAGAATTTGTTGGTCAAGCAACTCGTGAAATGCAAGAGGCTTTAGATATGACGCTGGAGGAGATGAATTTAGCTGCTCGGAAATTATTAGGAAACGAACAAAGTACTCGGCGGACATCATTCGAATAATTTTTAAGTTTCACAAAATTTAGCTAACTACGAATTACTTAAGTAGCCCCTATACGAACATTATAGGAAAATAAAACAATCTTCAATGCCAGATGTATAACCTCGCGACAATTCTACAAGTTCAACGTCAGAAGGAATACCTGTAAAAATAATAGGTTTACAATAAATGACGATTGTTTCCCTAAGTAAAGCCTTTAATATCTATATTTATTTATATGTATAAATGTAAAGAAGTAACCAATAGTTAAATTTTTATATAATGCTTAAACGATGCAAATGTTAAAGTTCTTGAAATTTATAAGAGATTAAATTTAATTAAAATTTTTGGAAGAATGAGATGAATATTTTATATATGTAAACAACAGCATACTGTTAAATGTCTTGGTAAATGTAAGAAATCGGCATATATCAAAGAATTTCCCACATAAAAATACATAGAAAATTTTACGAATGACAAACGGGATCATTTCGTCATAAGAAACTGTGAACATAAACTAAAAATCAAAATTTTAATTAGGAAAACCTCACAATGTTCATACACACATGTTAGTAAAATTAATATAACATAATATAAACACACCATGTATGCCCACGAATTGAGCTCGCCAGCAACGCAACTTCTCTGGTTTCACATGTACACAACAAATCGTTCAGCAGTCATGCGAGCACCAGTAGAATTCATACAAAACGCTACAGTATGATGCGATGATTGGGCAATCGATTTTTATACTCTCGCAACCTGTTGCTACAGAGTGTAATAGTTTTGTTCACCGAACGGTTGTTTGTATCACCTAAAACTAATCGAGTTAGATATAGTGTTATATATATATATATATAAATGATTACGATGAAAAGACGAATTGAAATCAGGGTGACTGTCTGTCCGTCCGTCCGTCCGTTTGTGCAAGCTCTAACTTCAGTAAAAATTGAGATATCTTTATGAAACTTAGTAGACATGTTTCTTGGTACCGTGAGACGGTTGGTATTGCAGATGGGCGTAATCGGACCACTGCCACGCTCACAAAACGCCATTAATCAAAAACAAATAAATTGCCATAACTAAGCTCCGCAATAAAATACAAGACTGTTATTTGGTAAACAGGATCACATTAGTGAGGGGCATCTGCAGTTAAATTTTTTTTTTTAAAGTAGGCGTGGTCCCGGCCCTAATAAGTTTAATGTGCATATCTCCTAAACCGCTAATGCTATAATAACAAAATTTACTGGAAGCAAAGTTTTTAGAACCTCTACCTACAGTGTGAAAATAGTTGAAATCGGGTGGCAACTCCGCCCACTCCCCATATAACGGTACTGTTAAAAAATACTAAAAGCGTGATAAACCAAGCACTAAACACGCCAGAGACATTAAATTTTATATCTGGGATGGTATGAGATGACTTTATAGGAACCGCGTTCAAAATTAGATAGTGGGCGTGGCACCGCCCACTTTTAGGTGAAACCCCATATCTTTATATATCTTTCATACTTCTAAGTCATAGTGCGAAAATGGGTGAAATCGGCCTACAACCACGCCTATTTCCCATATAACACCATTTTCAAATTCATCTGATTCTTTCCCTTTCCACTATGCATATCAAGCAACAATGATTATATCGGGGTAAAACTTTGCCTGAATAATACGTTTAAAGTATGCCACCTTGTGACCAAAAATTGTCTAAATCGAATCAAAACTGTTCAAGCCCCTAAGTACTAAATATGTGAACCCCAGTGCCTATAGTTGACGTTCTACCGAAAATATCAGTCAATCCACAAAGAAATCTCAAACGAGTATACCATTTGACTTTGCGAGAGTATGAAATATTCGGTTACATCCGAACTTAGCTCTTCCTTACTTGTTAACTATTATTTTTAATAAAAAAAAGAAAAAACGTTAACTTCGGCTGCACAGAAGCTATTATACCCTTCGCAGCTACATTTTTTTATAGCAGAAAAGGGAATAAAAAGATCTTGATTTTGAACCGTCAGCTTAAATGGTAGTTATTTGCTATAGTTGTCCGATCTGAACAATTTGTTCGAAGATTTTAGGGATGCCACGGGCAATAATTTATGCCAACTTTTGTGAATGTACGTTGTCAAGTAAATAAGTTTTCTATACAGGGGCTTGAGTTTGATTGGTCAGTTTGTCTCACATGCTGCTTTGGGAAAAAGGATATGTGCCAAATTTCAGATGAACAGACAGACGGACATGGTTAAATCGACTCAGCTCGTCACGCTGATCATTTATATATATTATATAAGTTTACTTAATAGGGCCGCTTCCTTCATGTTACAGACTTCGTGGCAAACTTAATATGTATCTTGTTCAGGGTTTAAATATACATAACGGACAAGCAATTTTTAATTGGAAGAAGAAAGAATTTTAACTTTTTATAACATACTCTCTGTCAAAGTATCATAGCAGCGTACCATAATACATAAGTATAAATGCAAAATTGTGACGTTGACGTTGGCCATGGTTGGTCTACAGGTTAGGCAAACTACATACATATACATGTGTACATATATAAATATTATATAAGGCTTCCATGTTCTAATTAAATAATTTAATTTTGCAACATATGTATGTATACCTATAAATATATTTAGTTTAATTCTCTACTATTTTGGGTACGTGCTGAACAACTATATTTTTTGCAAGTGAATATTGAAATATTGATTTATACCTGAAGAAGATTTGAAAATTTTTTTTTAATTAAGAAAGTGTTATGTATACTCAAATAAAACTGTGGAAATTTTACTTATTTTGCATTTGGGACAGCAAATAATTGATGTTCAGCTCATGTAGGAAGGAAACATCAATAAAGTTCCTCAAAAATTCGTTATCTTTTACCCACGAAAGTATAAGAAAATGTCAAATGTGAAATATAATGTCTAAAGTACTTTAATGTTTAACAGCTCTTGGGGCATTACTTTGCACATTCATATACATATACGAACAAATATTCACTTTTACATACTCTTTGAACTTTTTTGCCTTAAAATCCTGAGCTATAATGTGTATATACTTGTATATATAAATACGTATATAAGACTATAAATATAACGTTAACTAACTTTTTGAGAGTCGTATATTAAAATAAAAAAACATCAAAGAATTACCTACTATTGTATCTTAACATTGTATGTACTTGTCTTTATATATATAAACGTACATATGTGCGCAATAAACGTGTAATCAAAATTAATTAATTTTATAATAAAGTAAGAAAAAACTCAACATATTTGCAAGGTTACACCAACGCTATATGTACATATGTACGTATATATGTATAAACATTTCTAATCCTGATTAAGCAAACATTGCATGATTCCTTTTCAATATTTTTGTAACGGCTGCTGCGACCTTATGTAACACCATATAACAATATATTCTACACTTATAAATTATTATATATTTTGGAATCATTTTTAACGATTAGAAATACTATAATAAATTACGAAAATTATTTTTATCTTTCTACGAGTATTCATTTTAAAGCGTTAAATCATACGTTTTAGCATCACTAGAGTCGAGATATCGTACACTAAATACAAAAGAGTCACAACTCAAAAAGTATCAAAAATTTTTTCCGTATATCAATTTGTAATAGTAGTAATATTTGTAGTTGTTTTATTTTATTAAACACCCTTTTGGGGAATTTATTTTATAGCAATCTAGTAAATTAATACCAATAAACTATTTGTTTCTGACTTAAATTTATACGGTTTTAAAATTACAAAATGCTTATCCTATGATATTCATTTCATATGTGTAAATTTATACATATGTATGTATTATAGTCACTATTGAATACTGAACAATGATTAAATTTTTTTTTTTTGCACAAACTCGAAAGGTTTTACTCGCTTTAATCTTCTGGTAATGCCATCATTATTAAGGAGCTGGAGAGCCTCAATGTTGATATATCGTTGAAGTCGTAATAGTAGTAATATTTGTAGTTGTGTCACTACTGCTGAAATAAATCGTAAATTTTCCCCTGTATTCTAAAAGTTGTGTCTCTTTATTTGAAAAAAGTTAGTTTAATGTTTTATTTGAAATGAAATAATTGTGATGTTCAAACTGTTATTATGCTTAACTCAAAAATATCTATTAATTTCTCTGTTAAACTAGAAATCTATAATATTTGAGTAAGATGTTCTTCAAAGAAGATACAGGAACTGTTTTTTTGCAATTCCTGAACATTTGGCATTTTTCGAGTTTTGTATTTAGGGTGCGATATATGTATGTATATATGTACACTAGCCGCTATAAGTCTACGCTCCTCTGTAAAATAAATGTTTACTGATTTAAATCATAGAAATTATTATTTAAATAACTGAAACTATTTATACATACAGTGATGTGCGATAAAATAAAGCCACACAATCGCTGACGATGTNCAGTGAAAGGGTGCTATTGACTGTGCAATGACGTGTGCGTTAAAATAGAGCCAAACGATAAAATTAAACATTTTGCGAAGCGAAAAAACTTTATTTGATAAAATTTTCAACAAAACGTGAGTAAAGGGCTTTAATTTTATACATTTAATGTAGATTTTTTTGTTTTATATAAATTAGGTATAAAAATGGGAAGAGCCAAGCACTGCAGTTCTGAATGCCGAAAACTGATAAAAACTTTGAGTTTACAATCAAAAAGCCAAAAGGAAATAGCTCGAATAGTTGGCTGCTAAACAAAAATGGTTGCGAGTGCAATAAATTATAAAGAAAAACTAGAAAATAGAGGTAAAAAATCCAAAATCAGTGCGGTTTTTCATAGGCGAATCCTGAGTCAGGTGAGAGAAAATCTGTTTGTGACCCCTTCCGCCCTTAAGAAGCAATATTCTTGAATGAATACTTTACCATTCGAAGTTATAAATCAGAAACAATTTGAAAGCTAAAGTTGCTAGAAGGTTCCATTTCTGACCATAGTCAATATAAAAAGGTTAAAATTTGCCGAAGATCTGCTGAATGGCCTGTTATAAATGGCAAAACATTCTTCCGCAGATGAAACCAAAGTGAATTTATTCAATCAAACTAATTTCTGTCGAAGACCACCCAATACAATTCCTTCCAGGAATAAAAATACGATAAAACATTGCGGGTATTATAATGGTTTGGGGTGTTTCTCATATTATGGAACAGGTCCGCTATTTCAGACAAGGGTAGAATGGATGCATTACAATACACCAAGATTTTAAATGAAACCATATTACCTTATGCGATTTAATATGCCTTCAATTGGTCTTTCAACAAGATATATGAAACCACATCGAAACGGACATAGGAATGTTGAGACAAAAGGGCATCGCAGTTTTAAGCTAGCCCCGGAATCAAAAGTCCCTCAATCCTATAGAAAATTTATGCGGGAGGTTAAAGTTGAGGCCAAAATCCATCCAATAAAGAGGACCTTTGGAGGCCGCATGGCATAAAATTCCAGCTGTTATGTATCAGAATTTAGTCAATTATTCCCAGTTTAGGAGTTATAAAACAATGGATACTGCCATAAATATTAATGTAACAGTTATTATTCTTTATCCTATCTATTGATTATTTCATTAAAAATTACAGATTTCAAATCACCGGAAACAAATAAATTTAAATAACGTCTTCTGCTCTATTTCAAACACAGCAAAACGGGACATGCTAATGAGTTTTTAATTTTTAATTTTGATTTAGACTTTTAATTGGTATCTTAATATATACTCCATGCGTTTTCTTTTCTACTAATAAAAACTTAAAAAAAATTCTTGAAAATTACTATATATTAATCATAATACTGAAAACAATTTCTAGAATATATAATTTAAAACTATAGTACTGGCTCTATTTCATCGCACTCACTGTATACTATTATTCTCAATAAGCTAAGATACTGGACTAATCATGCACACAGCCAGGTGACGCCAAAGATAATGGGACTTTTGTTGCCGCACCAACGAAATACATATGTACATGCGGAAAGTGTACGCTATCTCGTTTCAGTTTAGTTCTGTATCCTACACCCAAATTTAAATAAAAACTTTTAGTAAAAGCAATCTTATTAAATATCATTTTGTAGATTTTTAAAAATTTTGAGGTTTTTGTAGTAATGGAGGCATAGCGGCATAGCGGCAAATAGTAATTGAGTTATAAATATCTAAATGGTCAATATCACGAGACGAATAGAATTCCAGGGGTGTCTCTGTCATTCTGTCCAAGCGATAATTTGAGTAAAACGTTAAATATTTAAATTTAACTTGTTTGTCACCCTGAGAAAGTTGGTTTTGCGGATGGTCAAAATCTATCCAAATACCGCTATTATAAAGTACTATGTTAAAGTCACAAATCAAATTACAAAACAAATTTTGTGTACATATCTCACAAATTTCTGAAGGTTTCTCAAGGGAACTTAATGAAAGCATCTCCTTCAAGCATTCCAGTGTGAAAAGAAAATGTCCGAATTAACCACCCCATACCAGAGATATTAAAAGAAAGAGCGCAAATGTTAAGTAAATTCTTTTTGAGTCTAATTGTGTGTTTCACAAGAGGATCGAAAAACAAAACTTCGAAAGAGAATTACACCAAGCAAAGAGGGAAAGGGGAAAAAGCTACAAATAGACACAAAGAATGTTCTCTATGATTATCGACGCCCATGTCTATTTGAGATTTACTTCTACAGTTTCTATGATATTGCAATATAATTAATAAAGTAGGAGAGTGCTAGTTCGGATGTAACCGAACATTTATACTCTCGCAAAGTCAAAAGGTATACTCGTTTTAGATTTCTTTGTGGATCTTGCCTCTTTCTATGTTGACCTATATTTTCGGTAAAAGTCAACTATAGGCACTGGTCTACATATTCAGTATCTAGAGCTTGAACGGTTTTGGTTCATTTTAGATAATTTTTGGTCACAAGGTCGCATCTTTAAACGTGTTATTCACGCAAAGTTTTTATAATCATTGTTGCTTGTTGCATACTGGAAATTTAAGAAATCAGATGGAATTTAAATGATGAAAAAAATTTTATTGCAGATGCCCTTCGCTAATGTGACCCTTTATCCAAATAACAGTCCTCTATTTTGTTGTGGAGCTAAGTTATGGCAATTTATTTGTTCTTAAAATAGTCAAAATTTAACCGTTAATATCTTTTAAACGTTAGGTTTTCGAAAAAATCAAGAGATAATTTTGTAGAGCATTTAATTTCCTTCTATAAAACGAGATATGTTTTTATTAGTTGGAAGCGGAATACGTATCATAGTTACAATATTATTGTAGTTTAGCTTTGTACATGCATATTTATTTATGCTTGAGTTTTCAAATTCTTTTACCATGTTGTCGAATTTTCCTTGACTTATCAAACGTTTCCAAGATGACTTTCCAAAGTTTTGCTGTACTGGAATCCCGTAACCCCGCCACTAACTAATTTTTCAATGCGGCGAAGTTGTTCTAGTGCTTAATAATATAGTTAATTTGAGATACATCGCCAGCATACTTCATTTAGGTCTTCGTTTTCTCTATCAGATAATTTCTCAGTAACATTTTCGTCAGTCAATGTCATTATGATTGTCTTCTGTATAACAATTTCGTCGATATACAAAAGTCATTCGATTACTGACCATGCTGATTTCATTCAAAGCCGATAAAAGCTCACTTATATTTTAATATCTCGTTAAATTAAACGCTTTATCTTTTAATGCTAAAGCTAATTGTTACATTGGATCCCGTTATATCTTAACATGTTTATGTTCGTCCTCACATTTTCACATATGATGTGTGTAGGTACTCTTTTTACTTGTATATTGATTTCAGTTGTTCGATTTAGTTACTCTAACTTAATTTAAATTATTAATATTCGTTGTTCGCAAATAAGAGTTTCGAGTTTCGTTACGAAGGTAGTGAAAATAAAAAGTAAAAACTATCCACGTCCGTGAGTGTCCGTTTGATGTTTGTTCTGAAAATTTTCCTGAATTTTGTTCGTGTAAGAGGGTTCGCTTGTTGGAGGTCCTCAAGTAGAGGTTTCACTGTATTACGTAAAAACCTTAATATATCAAACAATGTACATTGTGTTGTTGGTAAGAAATTCTGACAAAATAGTATGATTTTCAGTGGTGTTCACATTGTAAATTGTGTAGGTACTCTTTTACTTGTATATAGATTTCAGTTGTTCGATTTAGTTACTCTACTAATTTAAATTTAATATTCGTTTTCGAAATAGAGTTTCGAGTTTCGTTACAAAAGGTAGGAAAATAAAAAAGTAAAAACTATCCACTCCGTCATGAGAGTGTCCGGTTGTGAGAGTGGTTTGTTCTGAAAATTTTCCTGAATTTTGTTCCGTTAAGAGAGGGTTCGCTTGTTGGAGGTCCTCATAAAGGTTTCACTGTATTACGTAAAAACCTTAATATACCAAAGGGAGCAATGTACATTGTGTGTTGTAAGAAAATTAGTTCTGACAAAATAGTATGATTTTCAGTGGCTGTTCAAATTGTAAAATTGAAATTTTGAATGTTTGTTCAATAATAATTTATTTAAGCTTCATTTTTCATCCTCGCGTATTGCAAGAAGGAAATCCATATAAAACAATTGTGTTTTTCTTTACAAATAACATTTGAACTGAGCACGAAGGAAGGAATTTTGAAACATTTATGGAATGGCAATTAAAACAACTAAAAATGATAGCTGTTTGAGTTCACACATTAGACTTCTTTCCAATACTGTCTGTGGTTGTTTGTATAGCAATTCCTTATACAATATCAATTATTTTGCCAAACTTTTTGCCCTTCTTTTATAAAATTTTTTAAATTTAATTTTCAATATTCCTATATATAAATAATTCTCCATTAATTAATTCCTTTTATTTATTTTTGTTAGTCAAATTCGCTTTTAAGGAGGGGAAATATTTCCGGGACCTATTCAGAATAGTGTAGTTTGTTGATTTCCTTTATAAGCGGAGAAATGTTCTTGTTGTTTAAAACATGTTAGTATTTTGAAATATTAAAATATTTGGTCATATTGAGGTTAATTAGTTAATTTTT